AACGTCGCCAAGATACTCTCAATCTTACACGGGAAAAGACCCGAACATGCCAAGACCTGCATACACACACACACACACACACACACACACACACAGTATATATGTATTTATAGTATGATGTTTCCTTTTCTGATTCTATCTGAATTTGCTTTTTGGGGGAAAAAGGTACAGTCTTCAGGAGAAGATCGCATTTTAGTAATGGGAGCAACTAACAGACCACAGGAGCTTGATGATGCTGTTCTCAGGTATTATAATTTATGCATAATTAATTAGGAATATATAATGTAAATTTATCTTTGATCCTATTCTTGCTTAATTTGATATACCATGTTTAAAGAGTATATTTATTTTGGTAAAAAATACTTTCCTAGATGATATGTTTACTGGAAATATTGTTGGAATGAGTAGTTGGAAATATTTTCTAACTACTGTATATTTTTGATATAATCAATGATTTATCTTCATTTTGCTACTAAAGACAGGTTAAATACATTAAAAATGAAATATAAGCTTCTATTCACCAAAAATGGAGAGATCTTTCTGGCCAAATGCCACTGTGTTTCAAAACATCTCTCAGTTCTCAGATTTTTCTTCTTATATGTATATCAATTATTTCAAAATAATTGACCAAATTCTTGTCATCATAGTCACAGGAAGAATCTCAACTGCCAGGAAAATTTAGTTTTCCTATATATTTTGGAATATTTGTTGCTTTTTTCAAGGATATTGTAGAAATTGCCAAGTGCCCAAAAGGCAATCACATGACTTGGGGGGGGGGCACCCACTGTTGGAACTTTAAATCCAGGTTAGAGGTAAACATTTTTGGAGGGGGGGGGTCTGTTGTAACTTTGGATGGTTGCTAAGAGATTGGTCATATTCAAGGACTACCTATATGTATTGAAACTTATTCTGGTATCCATTTTTGCATTGTTTCTGTTTTATGGCACACTTGAAAAAGCAACATCTTTTCTAAAATGTATTGGGATTGAATTTAAATTTTATTACTGACATTTATGATTCTTTCCTCCTTCTATTGTTCATGGTCACCTCTTCTTTCACTGTTAAATTCTAATCACTAAAGCCACTCTGAGCTATATTATTTTAAATAAAAGTTTAGTAAGATGTCATTTTATACAGTTATTAATTTATTTAAAAATAATTTACTTATTAATAAAAATAATGATTAAGTTAGCAAATTAAATTGGCACATTCATACAGAATATGAACTTAGACCTACAAAATACATACCCACAAAATAAGTAGAATTAAGTGAAAAGTGCAGCTGCTTTGATGTTGAATTGAGACTTTTCTGTTTATTGTTTCCTGTTTTTTTTTATTTCCTCCTTTTCTTTCTTTGCCTGTGTTCCACTTTCTCAAGCCCAATGTATCTTTCTTCCTCATCATCTCATCTACAATTCTCACTTCTCAAAACCAGCTGGGCTGACAACAAAATGTGATCTTGAAATTCTAATATTAACTGTTGGCAATAAATATAGGGCCAATTTTAAATTTTATAGTGTTAAAAAATCATTTTTTGCTAACTACAATCCTGGTTTAAAATTTTTATTATATCTTGAATCTTAAGTAGAACTTTTATATTAATATTTCTTTTTCAGACGATTCACCAAAAGAGTATATGTATCATTGCCCAATGAAGAGGTATGTAGCTTACGGTGATATTTTTAAGTAAGAACGTCTCCTATTCAATTCTTGGATGCAGATTAATAACACAAAAATCAGTTTGTTCATCTTTAATTATAGGATGGATTCTTCTATCACAAGGTCTACTAGGATTTCTGTAGTGATGCTCTTTTCTTTTTCTTTTCCTTCTTTGCCTTTGTCATTTATTCTCCTTTGTTCATTTCCCTACTCTGTAAATTTTCTTTCTTAAGTTTCATTATTTTCCTATGAAGAAGCGACAATTTGAACCTAGATTGTAGCTGAAGAACAAATTACCATTAACATCAGAATTAACCTAAATGTGGATGGAAGTTTAATTGTCACTATATCAGTTCTGAGTATGCTTTATTTGTAAAAGGATTGCATAAAAAGGATTCATCTTTCTGTCTGCTTCAAGTTTACTTATTTATCCCATGAGCTGTTCAGCGCATCCAGAAGTGGGAGGTGCTTCAGTCTCTTCTGGAAAGGCTGGGCTTAAAACTCCGGGACGCTCCTCCTCCTCCACAGGACACCTCCCCAGCATCCCCCAGTTTTAGCTCAGCCTTCGTGGTAAGAGGTTGTGCACTCCCTGACTGGAACGGTTTTCTGATTCACCTAGTCAAAATTCAGGTTTGTTCTTGGGTTAATTCGGCTTGTAAATTTTTCCCCAATTAATTTGGCGATTTCAAGGCTTGTGGCTCTATTAGGTCATCCCCCCGATCAGTTTGAGAGCAGTTCTTTGTGGCTGGTGGAGCCTGCCACTCTGCAGGCAGCCTGAGATGGCCACTTCAGGCAATTAGCTTATCTAATCCCCTGATCGTCTTATCTCTGCGATCTTGGCGGAGCGCTGGCAGCCGCGGCTCACTTCTCCTTGCCGTTTCGACTGACAGGATCATTTATCTGACAATTTAGAGAGTCAGCAGCAGCGGCTCGTTAAACTGCTCAGGCAATTAACACCGGAGATTCTGCCTTCCCGCCATTTTAAACGGCTGGCTTCAAGTTCGCGCCTAAATATCATAGGCGCCATACCCCACTGGTTTCCCTTCTTGGGGACCGGGGCAGGTACCTTCCCACTCCACTTCCCTGGCATTATTTCTCTTTTATCTTGCTGGTGTTGGATAAGCAGGCTAGTCCTTAAACAGGAATTTTTTTCTTTTTGGAATTGCTTTTGGATCATTACATTGGAGTGAAGCCGCAAGTGCCATTTCAAACAGCGGGACGTTTTTGACAGGAAAGGATCCATCCAGGCCCTGTATAGCTGGTTTCCCTTGTTGGGGACCAGGGATCCAGAATATTTCTTGCTTGGAGCGCTTGGGGGTTTCCCTTGTTGGGGACCCTTAGATACTGTTTCCCATATACACAGTTTTACATGTGGATATAGGCACGTGTGTGTGTGTGTGTGTGTGTGTGTATGTATGTGTATGTGTATATATGTGTGTGTATATAGATATAGATATATAGACTTATACTCCTGGAGAAGCGTTTTACTTTCATCCACAGGGGTAGGCATCACCTCTAAGTAGTAGTAGTAGTAGTAGTAGTAGTAATAGTAGTAGTAGTAGTAATAATAATAATAATAATAATAATAATAATAATAATAATAATAATAATAATAATAATATTTTTTAAAAAACATTAAAGTTAGAGGCATGAGAATCAGTCCTCCACAATGGAAGGTGACAGCGTCTTCCGCTCCAAGACAAATAAGTCCCGAGATAAGTCAGTGGGCCCCAAAAAGGCCACTAAGGCAGCGGATAAGGATGCCCATAGACGGCACCAAGCCTTGGAAAGGCAGTTGCAGAAATGGGCCAGGGAGGCAGACAAGATGGCTATGACACAACAATCGGATCAGGGCCCAAGTACATTGTTGGGGCCCTTGGACTTATCCACCCAGCCCAGACAGGCTATTTCTGGACAGCCTCCCATAGGTATATCTCCTCCAATGAGCACTGCCTGGCGAATCCCAGAGGCAACCTTCACCCCTACGGCCACCGGTTTAAGACAGGAGGAGGGATTACCTGAGACTATTCCCATTGAAATGAGGCTCATGGGAGAAAGGGCGTTGGTACTTAACTGATACGCCCGCTCTGTGAGCTGTGAAGAGCATCCAACCCCACCCATTTCTTTCCGTCTGGTGAGGTTCCGTTCCGGTCAGGGATCTAGATTAGGTGATGAGTTCCGGACTTTGGCACTCAGTCTTCACAAAACTGGGGGACGCTGGGGAGGTGTCCCGTGGAGAAGGAGGAGCGTCCCTGAGTTTTAAGCCCAGCCTTTCCAGAAGAGACTGAAGCACCTCTCACTTCTGGATGCTCTTCACAGCTCACAGAGAAATGGCGTATCAGGTAAGTACCAACGCCCTTTTTCATATATCTGGAAATCTAAGCTTTCACTTTTATGTGAAAGAAAACTTTCAAGCAACAAGCAAGTTTAAATACTATATTTGCATGTGTGCCAAGCCAAATATGGTGCTTGCCATGGGATATCTGTTTAAACCCACAATGTACAAGACAGCAAATTAAAGCCAGTTATGTTGTTCATTGCCTTCCGTATCAGTCCCAATCAGATTTTCATAGCTTTTCACATATTTAATGAATGTGTCAAAATATGTGAGAAGCCAGGATAATCTGATTGGAACTGGTATTATAGATTGAATAGAAGAATGCTGAACTCTTACAATTTGCTTGTGTTTCTGTTAAGCTTTTAGCATTTTACTAATATATAATAGCACGACATAGAAGCAAAAAGACATTTTTAAGATGTAGCTTCACTTCTACCCCATATAATTTCAAACTTAATCCTATGTTTTGTCTTTGCAAAGTCAAAACCATTCTGCACAATTTTCAGATGTGTAGTGCCTTTGCTTGATTATTTAACCAGAGGTGAGATTGCAAATAAAGAATGTTATATTTTGCAGAATCGACTGCTTTTACTAAAAAATCTCTTGAGCAAACAAGGAAATCCATTAACCCAAAAGGAATTGGCACAGTTAGCTAGGTGAGTAAATTCTAACTTACTGCTAAATCTAGGTGGACTTTGCATACTGCCTAGTGATATTTGCAGCTGTTGCTCATAAGAAGAAATGCTAAATATAAATGGCTCTGAGTAATGGCAAAGCTATGTTTCTCTTCCTCACTGTTTATAAAGAAAAGATATCAGCACTTCATCTCTCATCAAGTATAGTATGCTGATATCTTAAATGATAAGACTACAATTTAATATCATTAATATTAGAGCATTAAATATTGAAACTTCTGAACTATGGACCTAATTGTTTTATCCAAAATGTACGAACTCTGTTTTACTCGTATTGCACTGCTTTACAATAAAGAATATAACACTGTAAACTTTATTAGCTTTCTGCAAAGAATATAAATTTTTGAAATTGTGTTCTTTCTAAAGAATGACAGATGGATATTCAGGTAGTGACTTAACAGCATTGGCAAAAGATGCAGCGTTGGGCCCTATACGAGGTAAGCACAGTTAACTTTGAATTAAATGCATCTGGAAGGTGGCTCTAAAAAGTACTCAGATATGTGTCTTTGGTTAAGCTATGATCCAAATAAATAGTTTAGTTTGCTCAAGTCCTTGCTATAGCTAGTAGCATTTTAAAAATAATTTAAATAATCAGAATTAACTAGCTAACATTGGTTCTACTTTGTAAATTATATAGATGCATGCATGCATATATACATTGGTACACATAAACATATCCAATGTTCATCAGGAATTTAGTTTAGCACAGAGACAGCATATTACAGAATTTGCAACCAATCCAGTAAGGACAGCAAATGGTAAAATGTAATCAAAATAAACACTGAAACCTATAGTCGTTTTAAAAAAAAGGGGTAAAGGTTTCCCCTTTCCAGTCATGTCTGACACTAGGGATGAGCCAGCAAATGCGGTGAGAAGTGGTACCTATTTATTCGTATTTGCATCTTTCAAACGTCTAGGTGGATAGGAGCTGAGGCAATTAATGTGATAGTAATGTAAAAGGAATAACATTAAAGTGAAGTTTAAAAAGCTGCAGTAACTAAAATGATAAAAAGATTGAGTATAAAAAGACAGGGTACAGGATTAAACAAATTTAGCGTATCAGATTGTTAAATCTAAAATAGTTGCAATATTTTCTTTTTGTTTTATAATACATAATATTAGCAAGTATCTGTAGTCCTCTTTGGATCTACAGGAATGAATCAGAATTTGAAAATATTTGAAGAAATATTTAACTTTTTTTTTCTTGTTTTGGTTTTTTTTTTAAATGGGAGTGAGAGTGAAAAGTTTTGGGAAGCAAATTCCTCCTTCTTCAACTTATAAAAGCTCCCCATATCTTTGAAATCCTAATACAGATAGACCTTGACTTACAACCATTTGTTTAGTGACCATTTGAAGTTACAATGGCACTGAAAAAAGTGACTTGTGACCAATTTCCATTTACGACAGTTGCAGCATTCCCATGGTCATGTGATCATGACCTGCCTAGAGCCTTATGATCTTCAAGATGAAGAAACATGTACTTAAACATTTGGTTTAAACCAGCTTTATTGCCAGAATTCAGAGTTGTCTTACTTCAGATATAAAGCTTTCTGATAGGATACATTGATTTGAAACTAATTAATTGTGTTTCTTTTAATTTACAGAATTAAAACCTGAGCAGGTGAAGAACATGTCTGCTAGTGAGGTATGTGCTTTGCTGACAATTCATTCATTTTTAATCTTTTGTATTTATTGTTTTCAGAGCACAATTGAAAATTCAAAATCATAAGGATTATTTGGATACTCTTGAGAGTAAACACATTCATTTAATTTACAAAAGTACTAAGTTGTCAAGTTGGTCTGTGTAATATAAAAAAATCCAATACTACTAAAAGGCAACCAAATACCCCAAAATATGTCATAGAAATAATTCCTCTAAGACTAAATAGATAATTAATAACCATAATTTTATATTTGAGAACACAAATGCAACCAAAATATGCAACACTTTAGAAAGAAGGCTAGATATATAAACACTTATGTAGTATTGTAGTGTAAAAATTACCATTCCATGAATACAACATAGATTTTTTTTGTTCCATCCTGTGACCTTTAGTAGAGTCTGGCTAGTTCTAAGTTTCCTCAGCTCAATGTTGAAACTTCTCCCTTTCCTATGACGGCACCGTGTTAGTAGATTCTCTGTCCTCTAAATTTTTAGAGAGATTAAGAATGCACAGACTGAAATAGGGCGATCAGAGATCAGAGTATCTTGTTGCCTTAAGCACTTTGTATTTTAAGTCATTTTAGCAGGCTAGAAATAGGGGGAAATGGTCTGAAATGATTTGCTGAAATTGATTCACATACTTTAGTGCCATCTAGTGGAATCAACATAGTAATACTTATCCAAGTTGAATTATTGTACTTTTGGTCTGCTCCTCAATGCTGGTAGTCCCATGCTAATATTTTTTGAAAACATAATGGTTTAATAAACAAATTTTAAACCCAATAATATGTGATACTCAAGGCAACTTATTTTTTTCTTTCCTTTTAGATGAGAAATATTCGCCTGTCGGATTTCAATGAGTCTTTGAAAAAAATAAAATGCAGCCTTAGCCCTCAAACCCTAGAAGCTTACATTCGCTGGAACAAAGCCTTTGGAGACACTACAGTGTGATCAAAGAACTTTATCAAACAAGGGGAGATTGTTGTCAGCAAGGGACAGCTGATTCAAACTAATGCTGACTGTTTGCAAGACATCAGCAGTATCTGCACTAAAAGGCAAGACTGATTTGTAATAGTTGATGATAAGCTCCCTAAATTTAATACTAGGATTTATACCCAACAAACTATGAGAGCACAGTAAAACGGGGAAGAGAATTCTACCAAATGAATGATGGGAAAAATATACTTTGTGTCCTTTTTTTGGTATTTTCTAAAAGTTGCTCATGATATTTACTTTTGTTGTGTTTTTCTTAATCACTAAGCCTTGTTTCAGTTTCTTGTGTATGGATAATGTGCCAAATTAAACATAAACCCATATGCCTAAGAATATTATTTTGAAAAATCCACAATATAAAGCATCTATGTAGTCTGTTTTTTCTCTTTGTGAAGTCCCAGAGTCAATATAGTAGTACAACAAATTGGTATGCCAAATTGGTTAAAGTTATCAATTTTTCCCTGCAGGAGTTTTCCAGTACATTTATAAATATCCATAGTAGCATCTTGTTTTTGAATCATAGTCCAAATGTGAAATAGTATTAATTTAAATCAATGACAGATTTTTCCTTCAGTGCTAGTTTTTGTGACCACAATGACCAAGAGCCAGGCAATTTTCCATTCTGGTGATTTTCTAAGATATGCAAGTGATCATAGCTGTAATTACTTGTTTAATTGGCCTTCTATATCCACCTGCATTTCAATTTATAGTTATACAACCATTTAAATTTTTTTTTATTAAATGACTTGTAATATAATGGGCTTTTAATATTAAAGGAACAGATGGGTTTACTTCTCTGTCTAATATGATTGGTGTTTACAAAATGAATAATTTATTCAATTGTATGTTTGCTATAATACAAAGGGTATGAATTAGATACATGAGTAAAGACTAATTCATTTTTTACAATTTAGTAGTCGTGCAAAAAGGATAGAAAAACAGAGACAGAAGAGTAACATTTCTGTTAAAATGTTATCATTGGTTTTTGAAAGGTACTTTTGAACTTGAAGCAGGATTTTATGAACTTTATTTAAATTTTATTTGATAATACATACTATTTGCAAATCAACAATACTCCTAATCTTAAATTAAGGTTTTCTCATGTCTAGAGATCTTTTCAGTTGCTATCTTATAGAAGAAATTATGCCTATGTGCAAAGGCAAATCTAAAAAAATAATATATTGTTCAATTAACAGCTGTTACTAAATCTTTGTATGAAGATAAACCATCACAGGTTTATTTAAAACGCACTAAAATATATTACTTGGCTCTTACAGCTTGATTAAACATGGCAAGTATTTTAATATCGAAAACCAATAGTACATTAATTGTGATTTATCTTTCTTTGACAATTCGGAAATCTAGGTTGCATACTATTGTGGATACTCTTTAATATACTTCTCTCTTTTCTTCCAATTTTCTTACACGTAAAGTGTGTGTGTGGGTATGTACAGATGTATGTCTCCAACTTCAACAAATATTTGTAAGATGTACCTATTATGGAATAAATTTAAAGTCTCTTTTCCTGTTTTATCTTTGAAATAATTTCAAGACCATATTGATGCATCTGAATACAGAAATACTGCATAGCATAAACATTCTTGCTAAAGGTAAATGGTAAAGATGTTTGTTACATCTTTAAAGGACATTTCTGAAAGACTGACGACACTAGCTACTCCTGTACATTTCAACTCTTCATACTGGTACAGTATACAATAAAGTCATTATACAGTCTTATTTAAAGTTGTATTAGTTTTAATCCCTGAACAAATTATACTTGCCTAAAGCTGCCTGATCACTTAACTCTTCATTCTAAAATTGGATAATCTAATCCAAGGACATTGAACATTTTATTTGTTCCCCTGATGTAGTAAACCTTGTGGTTGTCTGAAGTCTCAATTAAAATTTTCAGACTTGTCATTTTAAATCTACAAATACACCAGACTTCAAAAACCTAATAATCAAAATTACTGTCTATGGAGATTCTCAATCATCCAGGTCATAGTCGTCCAAAGGGTGCTTTTTTGAAAAAGCAATGGGACTTTTTTTTTTCTTTGAAAATGTTTCACTTCTTATCCAAGGCTTTAAGTAAAGGCTGCAGTAATCTGCCTTATTTTAATTTAAGGGCTAAATATTTCTGAATTATGCTTGCAATCAAAGTCTGATTAATTAAAGCAAAAATGTACTCAGGCAAGAATTATTTTTATCCTGTTTGAATCAGAATTACTAGGTGATTTAGATATATAAAAATAGAATTAAAACTACCAAGTCAATTGGCTTAATTCTTTTTTAAGAAAGTGTTAGGAATATTTCAGATGCTTGCTTGAACGGATTCTAGAGATCCTACTGTATTCTCTGTATTATAGCTTAATCATAAGAATTCAAATGGTTGAATTTTGAATTCAAATGATTGAATTTTTAGCTTCATATATATTATCTTGGAGGCAGTGCTACCTTTCTTGTTAAGCATTTTGGGAGGGGGAACATCTGAAGTCTCAGTTATGTGTAAGTATTTAGCAAATTCTGAAATATGGTAGGACACTACAGACTGTTTGCTTTTATGCAATAAATGTTGCTTTAAAATAAAGGTAACACTTAATACATTTTCATTCAAGCCATAATCCAGCAATGATTGTAATCGTATCCGTATTTCAATTCTCTTTAATAGAAATACGTGTGAAAAACGTAGTTATTTGTCTCATACCACTTTAATAATACTTCTGTTTTTTCTAGAAAATAGTGTACTAGGCTCCTCCAGTTTTTTTTAATGTGCTAGCATTAATGAGAACCTGATGAAGGCTCCAAATTCATTCCAAGATGGATGTAGGATTTATTTATTCATTGAGTAGCATAAACTGTTACTATGTCTGTTTTCAGTTATCAAGCAACCACCATAATCTACCCCATAGCAGTTGGATTTTTAACTGGTTTGTTTACTGTATCATCTGGGCTCTTCTGTAACACATCTTGGATGTCCAGTGAACAGACATCCTAGACAATTTAAAATTTAGTTTTCAGATTCTTCTTTAAAAAGCTTTATGCTATTTATATGGGGAAAACACGGGAAAGCATTCCTATCCATACATACAAGTTCCTCAGAGGCATCTGTTACCTTTTCTGTAAAGAATGTTCTTCTCAATTAGTTATCTCATTTAATAAAAACTTGATATGTAAATATGTTCATTTTAAATCAAAGGTGCTACTAAAATTAGGATTTTTTTTATTGAACAGATTTTCAGCTATGAAGAGACAACTTTGAACTCATTTTGAGAAAGTTCTCATATTCTAGCTGTTGAAATTAGGTATCACAATATGAAATATTAGGAAAACAATGTGTATAAATATGAAAAATGTTCATGTAGAATTAGATTGACAAACTTATTTGTTGCAGTTTGTCTTTAAACTCAGTTTTATTCCATGTTGAGTTCCTGACTCATGACTTGCAAATCTCTTGCCTACAGTATTACTTTTTGTTGTTAATATTTCTCATATCATAAGATAATGACTATTGTGGGATATTTCCATTTGCTATCTTTGAAATAAGACTAGAAATTAACTATTTAAATTCTAATTTACTGTGTTGAAACAGACAATATCCTCTGTTGTTATTTTCTAAATAAAAATGTGGAAACAGTAATTTGAGTATTCAATATTTTTAAGTATGTTAAAATGGATTGTGAGATATTGGTTACATTCTTTTTATATTACTCTCAAAACAAACATGAAATATACCTCTAGCTTCATATCTTAATTATCCTATAAATTATTCCACAAAACAACTTTCACAATAATATATTTTTGCACAGCTATTACTTGGTGCATCAGAATATTAGCCATTAGTTCTGTAACTAAGCAAAAAAAACATATAAGAAAATATTTATACTATATAGTTAAAATGCGAATAAAAAGTTTTCAGAAAAAGCTGTTTTCAGTTGGCTTTCTGTGCTGGTTGGGCACTCTTATTTGGATAGTCAGACTGAGAATACTATATAAAAAGAAAAGTAAACCTTCCTGCTTTTAAGAACTAGGAAAACCAGCTGTTAAATGTTTGAAAGTAAATCCTATTGAAGGACAGATTAGCATCATTCACAAACAATATTACACAGTCCGTTTATACAAAACAAGGTTGAAATGGTATGCTTTAAAATGTGTCTTGAATACTTTTCAAAGGCTTGCAAATAGAGGTGTTTTCATTCAAAAGGTTCCTAGCACTAATAATCAGAAGTCATTTAAGTCTACATTTTGTTCATCTGATGCACAATCTCGCCCAATACTGAATTATAGGGCTGGAGGGGACCTTGGAAATCTAGTCCAACCCCCTGCTCAAAGCAGAAGTCTTTATACCATACCGAACAAATAATAGTCCGGTGTTTTCTTGAAACCCCCCGGGAAGCATGCTGTTCCATTAATCAATCATTCTCACTGCCAGGAAATTCCTTATTTCTAGCTTGTATGCTTTGATGTTCCATTAAAATACGGTCAATTGGTTTGTGACTTGGGGCACAAAACAGTCATTTTTCATCTTGTATTTTATGACTAGCTAACTGCAGCTTCTTGAAAGCTGCGAGCCAGATCTGTGACTGACTGCATTGCACCTGGCATTTAACGGGAAGAAAAGTTGATTCCTTCCTTGATGCCCTCCAATTATGCTGAACTACAGTTCCTTAGAATTCCCAGGGAGCTGGCTGGAAATTATAGGACCTGAAATCCAACACATATACCTTGTTGATGATTCAAACTGTCAAGGATCTTGGAGTTCTCATATCTAATGATCTAAGTGCTAGAGCCCACTGTAATTACATAGCCAAGAAGGCATTAAGAGTTGTTAACCTAATCCTACGTACCTTTTTCTCTGGTAATATCACACTAACGAGAGCATACAAAACATTTGCTAGACCAATACTTGAATACAGCTCATCAGTCTGGAACCCACATTACGTATCTGATATTAACACAGTTGAGAAAGTCCAGAAATATTTCACAAGAAGAGTTCTCCACTCCTCTACTCGTTGTAGAATACCTTATGCCACCAGATTTGAAATTCTAGACCTAGAAAACTTAGAACTATGCCACCTTCAATCCAATCTAAGTATAGTATATAAAATCATACATTGCAATGCCCTGTCAATGAATACTTCAGGTTCAACCATAACAACACAAGAGCACACAATAGATACAAACTCAAGGTAAACCACACCAAACTTGATTGCAGGAAATACGACTTCAGCAACAGAGTGGTCAATGTCTGGAATACTCTACCTGACTCTGGTTTCTTTCCCAAACCCCCAAAACTTTAACCTTAGATTGTCTACTATTGACCTCACCCCTTTCCTAAGAGGTCTGTAGGGGGGGGGGGTGCATAAGCACACCAATGTGCCTACCGTCCCTGTCCTATTGTTTCTTTTTTATTTTTCTTATATGTATCCATTTCATGTATCCATAACTATGTTTATACTTATACCTGTTATCTTATAATTGCTTGACAAAATACATAAACAAACAAACATATGGAGCGAGCTGGGTTGTGTGAGGAATTCTAGCGCAAGGGTCTCCAACCTTGGCAATTTGAAGACTTGTGGACTTCAACTCCCAGGATTCCTTAGTCAACAAAGCTGGCTGAGGAATTCTGGGAGTCAAAGTCCACAAGTATTCAAGTTGCCAAGGTTGGAGACCCCTACTCTAGAGAGTACTTAGAGGGACTCCGGCCCTTCAAACTCCCAGAATTCCTGAGCCAGTCGTTAAAAGGGGCACAGTTCCTCATCTCTGACTTAGATGCCAATTGTGCCCACCGCTCTAATATTTCTAATTGCACTTCCACCGTTGCTACAGGGCATTCTTGTCACTGTTATCGGACCATATCCCGAAATAACGAGTTTGCCCCCATCGAGAAATGATCCCATTTAAATTTTGTTGGTCATCGCGTGCACTTTTGCAAAGCGACGGAACACCGGCAAAGGCGAACCTCCCGCTCTGCCTCGATTGGGGCCGAGGGAGGAACGAGGGTGCGTCACTTCCTGTTTAGTTCCGGGTCGGCCAATTACACGTCAGCTAATTCAACGCCTTTCTTCCGGCCCCGTTGGGAGCCGCTCGTTCCGCAATATGGTGAGTTCCCATTCTTGGGGGCGGGCGGTTGAGGGCCTCGGACGCTGCGTGGCGAGTTGGTGTCCAACGTGGTGCAACCGTGAGAGGATGCTAGGAGAGGGACATTGACCGGCTTGCCAGTTCTGAAGGAGGCGACTTCCCTGCAGCAGGGAAAGGTGGCTGTCAAGGCTGGAGAATGCCTTTCCAATGGGAAGAGTCCAAGTCTTTTCTGCGCAGAAAGCTCCAAGTGCGTGTAGAAGGCAGTTTGTTAATCTCTGCTGCACTGGGAGTCCTGCTTCATTTTAAAAGCGAAAATGTGACTGGGTTGTAACTCGATGTATCCGATGCGTGGGGTTTCCCTGAGAGGAGGTGTGGTGCAATGGCTGGAAAGGATAGATTGGCTCATCAAACTAGATAGCCTAGAAGCGTTGTTTAATTAGGAATTTGATCAATAAGTAATCATAAATAGTTGTTTTTAGTCACATGTCAAGAAAAAGGTATACTTGCTTCCCTTTAGCCTCTTACACTATAATATATCCTTCAATGGAAGAGCAAAAGTATAGTTTACTAATGAACAAATAACCACCTGAAGCCAAACAATTAGCTTCTGGGTGGTTTGGGTCAGATCTTTTTAAAGCCATAAACATCCTAAAGTACCCATAAGGTGTCTGCTCTCAGCCTAAGAAATATTATGGTGATCATAAAACCGCCTAAGACTCTTCAGGTTCTTAATAAGGTAAAAATGCAATGAGTGAATATTTTAAAGCTAGTCGGTGATACAGTGGATATGGAAAGTCTACACAGCTCTGTTAAAATGCCAGGTTTTTGAGATATAAAAAACAGAACAAGATAAATCATTTCAGATTTTTCCCACTTTTAGTGTGACATGTTAGTGTACAATTCAATTGAAAATCAAAATTAAATCTTTTGGGAAGGGGGTGGAAATAAAAAATTACAATAATGTGGGTTACATAAAGATCCATATCCTTAAACTTCGTTGAAGCTTCTTTTGATTTTATGACAGCAATCAGTCTTTTGGGATAGGGGCCTATCAGCATGGCACATCTTGCCTTGGGAAACTTTGCCCATCCTTCCCTTTCAAAAGCGCTCCAGATCTGTCAGATTGCAAGAACATCTCCTGTGCACAGCCCTCTTCAGGTCACCCCACAGATTTTAAATTGGATTTAGATCTGGGCCATTTGATCTTCTTTTGGTGAAGCCTTTCTTTTGGAGGTATGCTTTGGGTTGTTGTGTTGAAAGTTGAAATGCCTTTTCATCTCCAGCAATTTAGCAGGGGCCTGACAGTGTTCTGCCAATACTGACTGATATTTGGAACTGTTCATAATTTGGATTAAAGACCCTGTTCCAGCTGAAGAAAAGCAACCCTAAATTATAATGCTGCCATCATCATGCTTCAATGTGGGTATGATATACTTTTGGTGATGTGTAGTGTTGTTTTTCCGCCAAACATACTTTTTGGAATTATGGTCAAAAGGTTCAACACTAATCTTATCATCATCAGATCATAGCACATTTTTTCTTCATGTTTTTGACAGACTTCGTGTAGGTTTTTGCAAAATGTAGCTGGGCTTGGATGTTTTTCTTTGTAAGAAAAGGCTTCCATCTTGCCATCCTATCCCACATCTCAGACATAGGAAAAGCACAGAAGGTTTTTGTCTCATGTAGTATACAACCGGTACTTGCTAGAAATTTCTTCAACTCTTTTAAAGTTGCTATAGGCCTCGGCAGCCTGTCAGATCAGTTTTCTTCTTTATCAATTTTGAAGGTACTTCTCCAGTTCTTGGTAATTTCACTATTGTGCCATGTTTTCTCCACTTGTTAATGACTGTCTTTATTGTGTTTCATGTATATCCCATACTCTGAGGCAAAATTATACCCTTCTTTTGAAATGAGATCCCTTTATACTTTGAAAAGCTCTTACAGACCAAGCTTTTGCTGTAAGAGGCAACTGAGTAGCAGAAAAATCCTACTAGTACAGCTGACCTTTATATGGGCTTAATCAAAGTCACTTTAATTGATGGCAAGTGTGTACTGACTACTATTTACCATCAGTTTGAATGTGATTGGTTAATTCTGAACACACTCATATCCCTACTTATAAGAAGGTATGCACAGTTATGCAGCCACATTATTCTAATATTTATTATTATTTTCCCCTAAAAGATTTCACTTTTTTTTCAATTGAATTGTAGAACTTATATGTTACTTATATGTCACTTTTTAAATGTTAGCTAGCATGGAGATAATGTTTATTGTGATAGATTGCATGTAGAAATCAAGTTCATGATTTGGAATGTTAAACAAATAGAAAATTTAGTAAACCATTGCTATCTTGTTTGTAGGGAACAATATATTTGTTTCGCAAATCACAGCGGTCTCTTCTGGGCAAGTTAACACAGGAATTTAGAACAGTAGCTGCTGATCGAAGGGTAAGTATTTTCATTTACTGGCAAGAATATATTTTAATTCATAGATACTTATTTTTTAAAGATTCTTAAACATGTATACAGAATCAGTACTCGAATTTGTTCCTCAATCACTTTTAACCTATTTCATTTCCCAATTGCTCTCCTATGCTTATATTTGTTCCTTTGTTACTGTTAAACTTCTTTATTTATTCGTGTAAATTGCATAACTTCTATATTATGAGATGCATCTAACATCCCAGGGCAGTAACTATATTGACTTCTACTATATAGTGCAATATTAATGCAATATTGGGTTTTCAATTCAATTGTATAGAACAGTGGTGGCTAACCTTTTTGGGCTCCTGTGCCGATAATTGCGCAAGCACTTGTGCGCTCATGCTCGCGTGCCATCACCCAGAAGGCAATGTGTGCGCCCCCTTGCCCCTGCGCATGCATGCATAACACACGCGACTGTGCTGCGTGCTGTGCATGTGCGTGTCTCCCACGTGCCACCACGCATGCACGCCAGATACCCAACAATCAGCTGTTGGGCGGGTAGCGCACGCACATGCAGACTAGACTTTTTCTGGGCGAGGGCTCGCGTGCCAGCAGTAATGGGTCTGCATGCCACTTCCGGCATATGTGCCATAGGTTCACCACCACGGATATAGAATGTGAAGGATGTATGTTTGTCTTTTATTTTTATAGTTATAATCTACACCAAAGATGACATTTAATTTTGTTGTACGAGGTGCAATGACAAGTAAACTAAACTGGAAGTAATAATAACATACTGTTATTATTAAGCAATATTGTAGGATAGAGAAATTGAAATATGCTTAATATTTATAAGAAAGCCTTTGATGTGGAAGTGGATTTTGGCTGATGGAAGCATGTTGAGATTTTATTCTTTTTATTTTCTGGAATTTTCTAATAGAATTTAATTGAGTTTTCATTGTGTTACATAATATTTTATGGTTATTCCTTTTAGCCCTGTTGAATGTCATGTGCTGATGAGAAGTAGAATGTCAGTCTGGCAAATAAACAAATGGGGAAATGTTCCACTTGGTATTTTCTTTATTAGTTGTGAATATCTGAGACTTAGCTTTTTCTATCTATTATATCTATTAATTTATCTAAATCTGTGTATTTTTGACTTTTCCTTGTTAATAGTGCAGCTGTCAATGTGCATTCATTTTATTTTTATTGAGTTTGATTAACAAATGGTATTCTGGGCCAAGGAACTCTGGGTAATGCTGAAGAGAAAAAGCTGTTGAACTTAGTTGTACAGGTAGTCCTTGACTCATTCATTTAATGACTGTTTGAAGCTATAACAGCATTTTAAAAAGTGACTTACAACCAGTCCTCGCACTTATAACCATCTCAGCATCCACGCGGTCACAAGATCAAAGTTTAAGTACTTGGCAACTAGTATGTATTTGCCATAGTTGCAGTGTTCTAAAGTAATTTGATTTCCAATTATTCCTAGTGGGCTTCCAGCAGAGGTGGTATTCAGTAGGTTCTGACCAGTTCTGGAGAACCGGTAGCGGAAATTTTGAGTAGTTCAGAGAACCGGCAAATACCACCTCTGACTAGGGATTTTACAGTATCCTTCCTCTGCCACGCCCACCAAGCCACGCCCACAGAACTGGTAGTAAAAGAATTTGAATCCCACCACTGGCTTCCAGCAATCTAAGTCAATGGGGAAAGCTAGATTCACTCAACTGTAGTGATTCAGTTAACTGTGGCAAAAAAAGGTTGTAAAATCAGGCACAACTCACTTAACAATCACCTTGCTTAGCAAGAGAAATTCTGGTTCCAATAATCATAAACCAAGGACTACCTGTTGGTCAGTAAATCACAAGTTGAAAAATTATGAATACATTGATCTGACACTATGCTGTGGCATTCTTTCTTCAGCAGAGACTAAAGCCATGAAACACCTGAGCTGAATGTTCAATATTTTATCGGTAAATTATAGGGTTTTCCCCCCCAATAAAACCAACTTTATTAAACTTGTTTCAACTGTTGTTATTTACAGTCATGGAAGATCTTGCTGTTTGGTGCAATAAATATAGTATGTACTGCATTCCTGCTTATGTGGTGTAGTTCTACAAACAGCATAGGTATGTTATCCTTCTTTTAATGAGATGATTGTAGACATACAAAAGTAGTTTAATATTGACACAAAATTGTATTTGTGAGCATCATTGATTGCTAGCATTTTTTTTCTGTTTCTAAAGTAATTCTTGTTATTTCTCTCTCCCTTGATGATTTCTTTATTCAAACTATGAAAGGATATTAAGATGAATCAAAATTAATTCTACTAAATGTGAAACTTTGCTTACATTTATTAATAGATAATTCTATTAGTTGGATGCACATGCTTTATGATGACATTGTGCTAAATGTCTAAGAAATGAAACAACTATTGCAAGTACAGATAGTCCTTGTATTATGACTGCAATTTGGAACTAGAATTTCCATCTCTAAATGACGTGTTTGTAAAACACAATGTGATTTATGCCTGCATTGCTTAGCGACAGCAATCCCTGCAGTCTCAATTGCCATTGTTAAGTCAGGATCATGGATCATTAAATGAACACCTTCTCACAAAATCCTGCTGGTTTCTAATAACCAGTCAGTGTAAAAGCTGGCAGGAAATTGCAATTCCTAGATGGCTTGCAAACAGGTTGGCAAGCAGGAAGTGGCTGCTGATGGGTGGGTATAGATGCATGAATGACCAGAGAAGCAAAGCACAAATGCAGTGAGGCTTGGAAGGTGCAGGTGGCCCACAAATTCTGTTCTCGTAATTATGGGAAGCTGCAACTATCACTGGTTGCCAAATGTCCACTTTGTGATGACATAACAATGGGGGTACTGGAAGGGTTGGGACTTTGAAGACCAGTCAGAAGCACCACTTGTTCAGCACAGTCATAACTTTGAACAGTCACGGAATGAGGGATCCTTAACCAAGGGCTACCTATATATTAGACTGTATGTTATTCTTAAGTTATGCAGCATAGATGATCTTTAGTGCTCCTTGTTATTGCTTTTGGTCTGGAGATTCAGGATATATAGACTGATTTGCAGCTTTAAAATTTTTATTTTCACTTTCTACGTGAAACTCTCCATATAATGACTCCCATCACATACCCAGATATACCCATCCAACTCAATGTCTTGTTTGTTTTGGTGGGGATGGGGATAAAACATTGAAGGAAGCTACAGATAGGAGTAGCAGTGTGTGAGGCAGTCATGTTTTTGATTAATATTGTATACGTTCATGACTGAAGATTGGTCTACATTTTTATTTGCATAGTACATGGATAATTTTAAAATTGCCATACCCAATTGTTTTGAGACCACAGTTTTTATTTCTTCAGAGAGAAAGGTTATATGCTAATGATCTTGAGTGTGTCTGGATTTACTGATGCTGACTCTTCCCATCACTGTTATGTGATCTTTATTTATCATATTTAGAAATTGTTCATCTCCCTCATAGAGGGACTATCGGCAGTATACAAATGAAATATTAAAAACATAGAGTGTTAAAAACCTGAAAATAAAAACTTAAAATAGTTAAAAACCTACTAAAATATTGAACGTTACTCTAAGGAAATGTGGCAGTTGGTAGACAAATGTTTTCCCACTCCTGCTCTAGGCATTGATCTAAAGGGTGAAAATATAAGAGATATGCTCTTCTGCTCTCAAGGATCTATTTTGTAACAGTCTGCTTCCTCCCTTAATTGTCTTGCTGCCTGCTCTGTGTTGCTAAGGTTTCCCACAATAGTTTCCCACAATAGGCCTTGGGTTGTCTTAAGAACTTTCTTACAGTTATGACTCTGCCAAACAATGTAACACTTGCATAATCACTTTAACACCTCCATTTTATGCAAGGAACAATTTACCCTTCACCAAAAACCAATGAATCTCCAAAGGACAATCTGCTACTCATATATTTTATTTCTTTTCCTTAACTCTGTTAGTCCTCATTCCTCCATCTCCACAGCACATACAAAACTTCTGAAATCCTAGCAGTAAACTGCTCTGTTGAATATCCACTAGTATGCCATTCTCAATAACACGTGCAAACTCCCACAGAAAATTCACAAAAAGCCTCCAAACCCTGATCGATGCCACCATACCAAAAACAAAACAAAAATAGTCCCAGAGGCCTAAACAATTTCCTTGACAAACTTTGTGGTTTTTTTTTTTGGTAGATGCATATTTATTACATAGGAAATTGAATAAAGCCCAACAATTGTTTATTAAAAGCAACAGTACATTTACTTATTTATACAGTACATTTACTTACTTATAGGCAGGTTAACTAAATTATTTTCATCATTTGTTTATGTGATAGTAAAATGGCCATCTTCTTTCCACAGCTTTAACTGCATATACCTATCTAACAATCTTTGATCTTTTCAGGTATGTTTCCTTTTTAAATTCCTCAATTGATTTTGTAACACTAGTGAAAAAAATATCCTTTTATTCAAATCCATGGGTTATGGTAAAAAAAAACTTTTAATATTCCCCAATAAAGCCTGTTTCTCTTAGTAGGTAAGATGCAGTCCAATTTTTATCCATTTAAAATTAAGTCCAGTGGAATTAAGTGGATTCGATTGCCAGATATGTGATATAGGATTGTAGCCTAACTGACTTTTCATTGCATAGGAGATAAGTCCATAAAAACAGATCCCATTGTTTTTTTATGTCACAGTCATACGGTACAGAAATAGACATTTTTCAAAGTTCTGCAATCAAAGGAGATTTAAGTGTGCTTAAGTCCCATTATGACAGCAGTATATTTTGTCTTTAATCCCACTTTTGTTTTCTATGCAACTTGGTGGTAAAAACTATTTGCTTTTAAAATAAATGACAAGCCTTTAAATATCCCTGTCAGCCCCTTAATGTTAATGTAAGCCAGGTCAGAAAACAACTGGATATCTACTGGTTCTAGAAGCCCCTGGAACTCTGCTATATTACTGTAAAGAATAATATCAGAATCTTTGGTCTGTCATATACCAAAGAGAGTCAAAGTGGGGTGATCTTGAAATTCATTTTCACCCCCTCCTCTTTCTCAGGACTGAGTTGGTGTTTACATAAACACTCCTGCTTTTTCAAGATTAACTCCATACTCCCCTACATTAACTGAGATTGCAGTACTCTTATACAAAAGTAAGTCTGTCAACACAATGGAATTTAATTCTGACTATATATAGGGTATTGGTGTTGCCACTGTATTAATTGATTTAAGGAGACAGTTGAACAGAAAATCTGCCACAACCTGAAAGAAAGCACCCAATTTGCGGACTTTAGATACAAGAGACAATTTTTTTTATCAGGGCATCATTTGAACTTAATGAAGCGTGTCCATTGTTTTTGAAACAGTATAGACAGTTTTCATCAATTTGCATCATTTATATATTTAATGTGAATTACATAAATTTGGATTAAATAAAGATTCATATTTCATACACTGATCTCCCCTTCAGCAGGCTGTTAAAGGGTTTATTTTATTATTGGCAATTCATCAATATGTTAAATTATAATTGAATTTTGAAATGCTAGATTTATTTTATATAATTTTTAATACCTACATTTCTCTTATTTTAATTTTTGTTTCCTTTTTTATTTAGCTTAATAACATGCTTAATAAGTTATTGGGTGATGATGAAGAAGCCCAGTTCCTCATATTCATTTGGGTAAGTTGGATAATTAATATTTTGTGTCTTTTGAAAATATTATTTTACTATGAAATAAACATGTTATTAATTTATTAGTTCAATTTTGTTTATAAAGAGATTTTATAAATTCAAGAAAATTGTAATGTGCACATTAAAAGAGCATTATATGTAATGTTTAATACTGTACTGATTTGTGCCCAAGAAATTAGAGGGTACTAATTTGAAATATGCATATTATTTTCATTTGATCAAATATGATACTACCAGCCTTAGAAACTCCGTGGTTGATAAAACAGATCAGGCTCTATGCAGTTTTATGAAGACTCTGGGACCCTTATATAGTTTTGCTCTCTTTATGGAAGTAAATCTTTCTTGTCACATAAGGGGAAAAGTGCATTTTTAAATTTGCAAGAATGGAAATTTCAATGTACAGCTCTCACTAGATGTGTTTAATGTAATCTGTATTTTTCAAATCTCTGATGCCTTGGAGTTCAAACTCTGTAGCTAAATAAAACTGTAATATGCACATTTTTGTTTCAATTAGGAATAGTAGAACTGGGCTATTGTTTCCTTTTAGAGCCATTATCTTTTATCAGTCATATAAAATTTTTATAACCTGCTCTTGTCATACAAATGTATTATCCAAGCTACTTATATGAATTAAATTTACATTATAAAATGTAGCAAAAATAACAACAATATAAATACCAAATTGCAACAAACAAAAGAAGAAGTATGTCCATACTGCTGCTGAGATAACTATAGGACATCTTTGTGAAGTCCCCAGGAGAGGAGATAAACCTGTTAACACTTTGTCTCTTATTCAGCCTTTGCAAATTCATTATGAACGGTTAGCAGAGAATACATAATTTTTCATCAACATCAGTAACATAAAATAATCCTATCTGCCACAAAGTTAAAATTAAGCTATCCATACTTTAGGATGCCCAATCTGGTTTTTTTTAATTCCATGTAAAATCAGAACTGTTCATGAATGGTGCTCCCCAACAATGACACCCTTATTGCTAGGTGGCATGAATTAAAACATAGAACTTAATAGAACAGAATAATTCCAAAATACATGGAAATTATCCAGTTTTCCAACTTATCTGGCCTTCCCTTAATCTGCCACTAATTTTTAAAACGTTTTAATAAAAAGAAAATAACAGCAAAAGTAAATAGCACATGTTAATTTGCTAGCATACTTTCTTGTACCCATCCCAATTAATGCGTTATACTTTCTGATTAATAGTCTTTATTATTTGCACTGATTTTTAAATGCTTAATTTCCCAAACTGCAGATTTGAGAGATTGGAAGTCCTAGCAGTATTTGCTTCTACAGTTCTTGCACAACTTGGAGCGCTTTTTATACTTAAAGAAAGGTAGGAATGCCCCCTCCTTGTGCTTATTATTTAATCATTGTCAAAGATAACAGTATTTCCAGTGCTAGAACACCTTAAAAAAAAAGCTGCTACAAAAGATAGTATGATGTTTTATCCACAGTAAACCTCAAATTCTTGTTGGTGCATGAAGGACTATATATTTGACTAACAGATTTATTGTGTCTTTTCAGTGCTGAACGATTTGTTGAACAACCAGAGATTCATACGTAAGCATTTTAAATTAAATAATAATAAAGATTACAAGTATATAAAAGTTGGCATAATTAATAGGGCCATTAGTACATTACTTTATCTGTTAAAGCAGAAAACTGAAACTGAAATGCTGTCATGGCTTTTAGGTCAGTGGCAAAAATCCTCTTGAATTTGTTGATCTGGGATACTTGCTTAATATAAATGGATTTTATATAGAGATAACTAAGTTTAAGTCATACATGCAATGAATTGGGCAGAAGTCTTTTTAAAAGGTTATGTCTGATATATATTAAATAATAAAAGCTTAAATTTAATGCACATGTAGCCCTTGTTATCTGTAATTTCATCATGGTTTTGGGTTCCATGTCTACTAAAAGAAATGTAAATTTTTTGTTTTAGATTTTGTCTAAAGGTTGTGAGGGAAGGATGGGAGGCAACTTGCTAAATTTGAATCCTAGCAAGACACAGTTACTGTTTGTCCATTGAAGTTCTCTGGAAGCTCCAGTATATCTCTTGATGAGGAACCATTTCCTTTGAAAGGCACCACGACTCATAAATTGAGCTCTTACTTAAGCAGCAAGTAAAAACCACAGATGGTGGAACCTTTGGCCAACTTCGGCTAGCATGTCGCTTGGAGCTCTATCTGAGGCAAGAGAATCTTGCTACAGTGATTCATGCCCTTATTCCCATTTATTTAGATTACTGCAACACACTTTATGTGGAGTTGCCTTTAAAGACAATTTGGAAGCTTCAGCTGGCCAAAATTGCAGTGGCCTGTGTACTATTTTACATTTGCCAGTGGGACTATATTACATCTGTGCTAGAGATCTTGCATTGCCTTCCTATCAGGTTGTTGTTGAAATTTAAAGTATTGATGTTAACATAGAAAGACCCCTATGACTTGGCACTAAGTTACATTCTGGTTCACCCACTAGAATGGAGTTTGCTTGTTTAGTCTTAAGAATTCCATCAGTAAGTGCTTCCCCATTTAGTGCTGGGGTAGAAGGCTAAGATGCTGCTTTTCCACTAAAGTGTCACCCTCTCTAGAATGGCCCTCCCACTGTCATGTAGGCTGATCCCCAAATTTGGCTGCCATCCAGAAGCACTTGAAAAATGATCTCTCCTGAAGGGCTATTGAAACTTGAGGTCTAGTTTTTGGGTTCTATAGTTTTTTATAAGTTTCAGGGTTTTTATGATTGTAACCGTGGATGTTTTTTAATTTATTAATTTGTTGTTGTTTTTGTTTATTGTATATGCTGCCCATCTCATTCAGCGACTCTAGGTGGCTTACAGCATAATAAAAAGATAACACAAAACAATTAATAATTAAGGTAGATTAAAGACTAAAAACCATCAGAACATGTTGACATGGGGTTGGGCATCTCTCTATTAAAGGCTCATGCATTCCCATAAAACTTCTGAAAGTCTTGTACAGCAGCACAGAAATGTAATAAGTTTATCAGCTAATAAGTTCTCTATTCACATAAGAGTTGTATATAATTAAATGGAATCAGGTAAACTTTTTTTTTTAAAAAAATACTGTAGTTAAATGGAGCCTAATGGTAATGAAGATTAATTAACATACCTGCTCTTTGTATCTGATGATATGCTATGTTGATAAAGATTTTTTTTTTAGGGGTCGATTGCTGGTTGGTACCTTTGTGGCACTCACTTTCAACTTGTTTACAATGCTTTCAGTTAAGAACAAACCATTTGCTTATGTGTCTGAAGGTACATAATACATTTTTTGAAAAGAAAATGTATATTTTAATTTAATAAAAGCTAAAATATGATATATTAATTAGTAGCCAAATGTTATTTGTTGTTGTCACCAAACCCACAGCTTCCATCCCTTAAATCTTTGATAATACTCAGAAGGACTAAGAAGAAACTAGATGTATAGCAAAGGCTTCCTCATTTTCAACACCTTAGAAAATGTGAAAATGGGTAAAAATATTTCCTATTTGAAACAATTACTGCTTTTATGTTCCCAAACTGCTTTGCAGTTGCTAACTCCCTGACTGGGGATCTCTGCACTGCTGGATTTTCCCTTTTGAGGATCTTGATTTTGATGATTCTAGATTCACGTAAAAAACACAGATATGTTTATGCTGAACTACGCAAATGACTTTGTATTTCTACATCTGCATATTTGAAATGTTAGAGAGTTGCAAGATATGGACAGGCCTGCAAGGCCTGTACCCAAATGCTTGCTGATTCTAAGAGAGAGAAAATGCAACAAGAGGAAGTATAAGTAGTTCTTGACTTATGATCACAATTTCAGTTGTTAAGCATTGAAGTTGCTAAGTGAGTCGCAGCCAACTTTATCACCTTTTCTGCCATGATTATTGGCAGGTTCCATGTTAAGGAACCCAGCTTTCCCCATGGATTTGCTTCTCAGAAGCCAGCTGGGAAGATGGCATGTAGCGATCACATGACACCGGGATGCTGTAACCATTGTAAATACACTGCTCAAAAAAATAAAGGGAACACAAAAATAAGACATCCTAGATCTGAATGAATGAAATATTCTTATTAAATACTTTGTTCATTAGGTAGTTGAATGTGCTGACAACAAAATCACACAAAAATTATCAATGGAAGTCAAATTTAGCAACCCATGGAGGTCTGGATTTGGAGTTACACTCAAAATTAAAGTGGAAAAAAACACTACAGGCTGATCCAACTTTGATGTAATGTCCTTAAAATAAGTCAAAATGAGGCTCAGTAGTGTGTGTGGCCTCCACATGCCTGTATGACCTCCTTACAATGCCTGGGCATGCTCCTGATGAGGTGGCGGATGGTCTCCTGAGGGATCTCCTCCCACACCTGGACTAAAGCATCCCCCAACTCCTGGACAGTCTGTGGTGCAACGTGGCATTGGTGGATGGAGCAAGACACGATGTCCCAGATGTGCTCAATTGGATTCAGGTCTGGGGAACGGGCGGGCCAGTCCCTAGCATCAATGCTTTCGACTTGCAGGAACTGCTGACACACTCCAGCCACATGAGGTCTAGCATTGTCGTGCATTAGGAGGAACCCAGGGCCAACTGCACCAGCATATGGTCTCACAAGGGGTCTGAGGATCTCATCTCAGTACCTAATGGCAATCAGGCTACCTCTGGCGAGCACATGGAGGGCTGTGCAGCCCCCTGAAGAAATGCCACCCCACACCATTACTGACCCACTGCCAAACCGGTCATGCTGGAGGATTTTGCAGGCAGCAGAACATTATGCACGGTGTCTCCAGACCCTATCACGTCTGTCACATGTGCTCAGTGTGAACCTGCTTTCATCTGTGAAGAGCACAGGGTGCCACTGGCGAATTTGCCAATCTTGGTGTTCTCTGGCAAATGCCAAACGTCCTGCACGGTGTTGAGCTGTAAGCACAACCCCCACCTGTGGACGTCGGGCCCTCATACCACCCTCATGGAGTCTGTTTCTGGCCGTTTGAGCAGCCACATGCACATTTGTGGCCCACTGGAGGTCATTTTGCAGGGCTCTGGCAGTGCTCCTGTCCCTCCTTGCACAAAGGCGGAGGTAGCAGTCCAGGTGCTGGGTTGTTGCCCTCCTACAGCCTCCTCCACGTCTCCTGATGTACTGGCCTGTCTCCTGGTAGTGCCTCCATGCTCTGGACACTACGCTGACAGACACAGCAAACCTTCTTGCCACAGCTTGCATTGATGTGCCATCCTGGATGAGCTGTACTACCTGAGCCACTTGTGTGGGTTGTAGACTCCGTCTCATGCTACCATTAGAGTGAAAGAACCGCCGGCATTCAAAAGTGACCAAACCATCAGCCAGAAAGCATAGGAACTGAGAAGTGGTCTGTGGTCACCACCTGCAGAACCACTCCTTTATTGGGGATGTCTTGCTAACTGCCTATGCTTTCCACCTGTTGTCTATTCCATTTGCACAACAGCATGTGAAATTGATTGTCAATCATTGTTGCTACCTAAGTGGACAGTTTGATTTCACAGAAGTGTGATTGACTTGGAGTTACATTGTGTTGTTTAAGTATTCCCTTTATTTTTCTGAGCAGTGTATGTACGGGTTGCCAAGTGCCTGAATTTTGATCATGTGACCATTGGGGATGCTGCAACGGTACTAAGTGCAAGGATTGATCATAAGTCACTTTTCAGTGCTGTTGTAACTTCAAACATTTGCTAAATGAATGGCTGTAGGTCTAGGACTACCTGTAATTTTGGCTTGTTTCCCAAATCAGTTTAATCTTCTTTCAGTCCTTAGTGCAATTCATGCAAATTCTTTACAAGAAAAAAAAATATGTAGAACTCTTAGGGAGCCTCATGTGTCCTTTCATGTCTCATCCCAAATTCTTTCTGACCTAAGGATGCACTATTAAAATTCTTCAGGTCTTGTATTTAATTGTAATGTAACTCTAATGTGTGATTTGGGTGGCAGCTTAGTCTTGCAATATCTGCAAATAATCTTGACTTCAAGTTCTAATAATCTTATTGAATTATTCTTGTGATTTTTGTTAGTAGTATTTTGAAAATATAATAACCATGCTGGCATTATAATTGAATAAAGTAATTTATGTCTTTGTTTTAATGCAGTTTGACCATAATATAAAATTGTGCTTTCAATTAGTAGAATAATATATTATTTATATTTATACTTTTAGGCTGATTTTAAAGGTACAACTTCCTTTAAATATACACTGTAGTAAAACAATAATCAGAAAAGGAATTCCATTTACACAGCACTGCAGGAATACATTTTTTTTAAAAAAAGTCAATGAATACTTAGAGGGTTGCTGGCTTTTTTTTTATGGCGAGGAGATAACATGTTAGTGAAGTAAAATTTTCAGATAGATAAACTTTTGTCCTACAGTTGAACTTGATACATATTTGAGCAGGATTATATTAAAACAGTGAACAATTACACTTCTCTCTGCAGCTGCAAGTACAAGTTGGCTTCAGGAACATGTTGCAGATCTCACTAGGAGGTAAGTTAGAAAGGAAGACATTCTAAAAGAGAATGTGCTATATCTTCTTTGGACTGATGGGTGTGTGTTTTGAATTTTGAGATTGTTGTGGGGGTGCTCTCTGTAGGCAGGACAGACTTTTTTATTAACAAAAAGGCTCCATTGTTGAAGCACCCATCAGGTAGGTGAATGGTGAGGTAGTTCCTTGTCATGATTTAAAAATGATAATCCTTAAACTTTAGGACATTTGTTTTCAAACTTGGCAACTTTAAGATGTGTGGACATCAACTCCCAGAATTCTTCACTGAACCTTTTGCCAAGTTTGAAAAACATTGCTATAGGACTTTAGGTAGCCTCAAACTTCTTTTTTTCTGCCTCTTATGGTGTAAAGCACAGGTAAAATAACAACGGCTTTTCCACAGACCAAGAATAAAAATCAAAATTCTGGTTCAGTCCATGTGCACAACATGGCTCACTCCAGATTGTCCTAATTTTGGAGTGTTGGCTCCCCATGCCTCCAAGTTCAAGGTGTGGTACTTAGGTTATCCATACCTCTTTTATTTCCTAGATGCTTTCCCCCACTACCATCTTACCTTACCTTAGTCTTTCTTGGTTTTAAAGAAAATCCTGACACTGGGTTGAAGCTACTCACTGTTTTTATTTTCTAAGAATGCTTATTGGTGTTCTTAAGCCATTGTGATGTGAATATGATGCTAGAGGGTGATACTTACTTTGAAGCATGTCAGCTGGTCCAACACCCCCACCCCCCACATATTTGTAAAAATGAATTCCTAAGCAGAGACGATATTTAGAAGGTAAAACATCTCTATCTGCATTTGCACTTAATATTAGTTTGGAAACCTAAAGTGCTTGCATAATCAATTGTTCTAAGTACCTGTATTAGCTTGGTCTTTGAAAGAGAGAGTTTCTAGTATGGGTTTTAAACAATAATAAATTTAAAACACTCAGAAAAAAGCAAACACATTTTTTTAAAAAATAGTTCTTTGTTATGCTAAATTCTTGTAGCTCCCTGAAAATATCTGGAAATTTCTGTTTCCTAGCAACTTTGTGCTAATGGCATAGAAGAGACAATGAGACTAGGAGCCCAAGTTCTTGGGTGTGGGCCACTGTGCCATTCTTATGATTTGTTGCCATCACCATATATATATTGTTTGGGAGTTATAGTGGAAATTTGATCTATTGAAATTGCATCTTCCTGTCTTTTTTGTTCATAATCACTTTCTCACAGAAGGGCGTTGGTTTCTATTTTTAAATTATGTTTGTTTTTCCTTTAGGTGAAGGGCCAGATAATTTGTGTTGAATACAAAAAAGGTTGACAAATTGCTATAATCAAAGTCACAGTTCGAGAATATGAAAATAATTGAGTTTGCTAAAAGAATTTGAGATTAAATTTTGTTCTTTTGCTGGAAGATGGCAATTTCACCCATTTATGAGTTAATATAAAAGTTCTTAAGTGGTAAAAACATTCTTAATGTTCAGATAGGATTATATAGGTGAAGATTGTCTTTTAGATAACCTGACATAAATTGGACACAGATTTAATGATTAATACAAATCTTAGTTGCAGTTGGTAAGATGCTAATAGCAATAGACCAATAGATCAAACTGTTTAATATTGGAATGTTATATACAGAGTACTAAAAAAATTCTGGAATAAGACAATGGGGGGAAAAAACACTTTTGGTGGCCAAAAAAAAAAATGCATTGATATACACCTGTAGTGATGAGGAATTGAATTTGATTATATGGATTCAAACTTTTTTTTTCTTTGCTCTAGATTGTCTTCTCTTCCAACAGCATTCTAAAATTTCAGATGAAGATTTTTATTATTTGTTTTTCCCCCCATCATAGTTATCCCATTGGTATATTTCAGAGAGCAACTGTAAGAGCTACTGCCATATGGATAATAAGAGTGTGCTACCTCTTGGCTTTCTTCACTAATTGATATTATTTATTGTTACTTTTAGCTTGTGCGGTATCATTCCTGGGCTGAGTAGCATCTTTCTTCCACGTATGAATCCATTCATCTTGATTGATCTTGCTGGGGCTTTAGCTCTTTGTATTACATACATGTTAATCGAAATTAAGTAAGTGCTGTTGGATGGAATGATAATATTTAATAGGCATTTGATACTGAAAACATGAGTGCCTATAATGTTATATTTTTCTCTTTCAGTAATTATTTTGCAGTTGATACAGCTTCTGCAGTGGCTATTGCTTTGATGACATTTGGTACCATGTATCCTATGAGTGTCTACAGTGGAAAGGTATTGCTTCAGGTGAGACAAGGAATTAAGACCTTTGTACTAGCAGTGAGAGAGTAGCCAAAAAAGCAACATTGCTTACTGAGGTCAGCAAAACAATCACAATAATTCATTCTGAAAAAAAAGTAAGTGTTATTCTTTAATGACAGTTCTGGCATCAAAGAACTTGCTTTATGAACCCTTTCTTGACAAATTCAGAAAGGATGCTGTTTATTTCACCCATTCAGCAAAACTTTTTAAAAATTGTATTTGAATAATGTGTCTTTTCTTTTCAGAAACATTCACATAATGTAGTCAGATGTATTCCTTGATACTGATTGCTGATACTTTATCAGCGTCCTAATTACTAATCATTTATGTTGTGGCTGAATAAATTACATTATGAAATTGTAAACCTTTTTTTAGACAACACCGCCTCATGTGATTGGACAACTAGATAAACTTATACGAGAGGTAAGTTAATATAAAAAAGCTCTTCATAGTTTGGGGCTGTCTTCTATCAGCCAAGGAGTGTCAGCTGTGGGAACCAGGAGACAGGCCTTCTCTGCATAGCCCTTGCCCTCTGGAATATTGTGATGACCTGGGGCGTGGCACAAAGGCAACACAGTCATATAAGTAAGAAAAGTCCCTTTAATAGCCCCAACTTTGCCCCAATGTCCAGTTACCTTCAGCTGGAGAAAAAATCTTTAAATAAAGGAAATTCAGTCCGAAAACAAAGTACATATAAACTGTAAATAAAAATCCACACAAGCCACGCTGCAGCAATTAACTGGACAAGGCAGGATAAGGAATTGCAGACTTCAAAGGCCAACAAAACATACACAGTTGGGAAGACGCTAGGACCCTAAATAAGCCTCGACAAAACAAGATAATGCACAAGTTGCTTCCCACGAGTTGCTGTGCGCAAACTCACTTTTTAAACAGTGTTTCCAGCTGTAGCTAATGAAGGGAATCAGGGCCCTTTCCTCCCCCGTAAGCCACGTAACTCATGTTGCTCCCTCCTCCGCTCCTCCCTGCATGCCCTAGGATGAAGAGGGGGTGGGCCTGGATCTTTCTCTGCCTTCCCTCTGCCTTGCTCTACCTCTTCCCTGCTCTGCCCAGCCAGACTTTGCCCTTCCCCAGTTTCTTCCACAGCCACCAGAGTCACACTCCCATTCCCTGTCAGCTGCTCGGCCTCCCCCTGACAAATACTCTCCCTTCAGAGTTGAGGATAACCATGACCTTGTTGGCCTTTTGCAAGGCCATGAAAGCTTGGTTGTATGAATGTGTTAAGGGCCTGAGTTGCTGGCTATATTAACATCCATAGCAACATTTTACTTGGTGCCATATATATTTATTTTCTACTGTTTAAATGATTTTTATTGTTTTTAAGCTTTATAAAACATAATGCAATGTTTTATTGCCGAGAATCACTTGCTGAAATGGATGGCTATAGAAATCAAATAAATAAATTGTGGGGCACCTCTAATGACAATCCAAACATGCCTTCTTATTTATAAAATATGCTAGATCTGTTTTATGAAACTGTTACAAACAGTGATAAAGGGTAATGAAAAGTCTGCTAGAAAACAAGCAAGCACAGAGAGCACCAAGGACCCCTTATTACAAACAGTCATATTGTTTCATTAATATATTCAGTAACTTTCTATGTCTTGAAACAGGTTTCTACTTTGGATGGAGTTCTAGAAGTTCGAAATGAACACTTCTGGACATTGGGGTTTGGTTCATTGGTATGTGTTTATCCACTTTAATCACTTTTTCCTCTGAAAATCAAGTATTAAGAATGAAGAAATACATTCTAATAGTTTCTCATCTAAGAATTGCAGAACGTACTAAGTTATTTCAGAAGTATGTTTCTTATTGTGCATTTGTCCCCGTCTATCAGTGTTATATGTCACAGACTGATGAGCTTTTCTTGATTTGTCTCCTAGGCTGGATCGGTTCATGTGAGAATTCGAAGAGATGCCAATGAACAGATGGTACTTGCACATGTGACAAATCGGTTACATGCCTTAGTATCTTTTTTGACTGTTCAGATTTTCAAAGATGACTGGATTAGGCCTACTTTGGCCACTGGACCTATTGGGAACAATATGCCGAACCTTTCAGATCATTACATTATTCCAATGCCATCTCTAAAAGCAGCAGAAAGTTCTGACCATGTTACATCCACTCCAACTAAACCAAGTAGTCCACCTCCAGAATTTGCTTTTAACACACCAGGTAAAAATATGAACCCTATCATTCTCATGAACACTCAGACAAGGCCCTATGGATTGAACTTCAACCATGGAACTGTACCTTACAACAGTGTCTTCACTCAAGGCTTTGGATTGCCAGGAACGGGAGTAACCCAGGGATTCAGGACTGGCTTCATTAATGTTCCCCAGAGATATGGAACTAGTACTCGAGGTCAGTTAAAACCCTAATAAACTGTTTCTATATTTATTGTTAAAAATTACTTCAATTATTTTATTGCTCATTTTTCTACAAGACTGTTTGATTTCTTGGTAACTAGTATCAGAAGTTTTCAAAATCATGAAAACGTGCACTCATGGATTGACTTAATTTTTGATGCAGCTATCCATTTCTGACTGTAAAGCCATAGCTTTATAAAAAGTTATTGCAATTGCATATATTGCTGGTCTTGTAAATAATTTCAGCACAGTATATGAAAGGAACGCCAGAAAATAACGGTTTTGCAAAGTGTCTATTAACAAAATTATTTTTTTTAAAGTTTGTCTTTGATATAATCATGCAATCATTTTTAAAAGATACTTTCTGAACAATGGAAAAATGATTATTTGGTCCAGCAGCAAGCATTCCTAAAATTCAGGTTGATATTAAAATAGTTATGGGTAATCTTGCTCATGAAGTGCAGAGGAGAACTCATGAAATATGACAGTGTGGGAAGAAGACAAAGGTCATCCAGCTACCTGTAACTGATTATTAAGAATACATTTCTCACATACAGAGTTACTTTTCTGGAAGAAAATTGGCATCGGAGATTTTAAACAGGAACATGTGGACGGTTAGACTTTAGGGACAAGTTTCTCCCCTCCTCCAAGAGCATAGGCCTGAGGGAAAGAGCTGAAGTGGTCCTGGGTACATGAAGAGCTTAAAATTCCAGAAAAAGGCCTATAGCTGTGGTAGAGATAGAGAGGGATTCTTATGGTGGTGTTTAATTACAGAGGAGGGAAATGGAATTAAGAGTAGAGATGAAGATTCAGAGGGTGAAGCAAAGAAGGCTCTGTCTTTATCTCCCAACATCAATATAAATTTCAGGCTGAGGAGAACTGCAGGTGGACCAAAGGAAAATAGCATTTGGATTTTGATTGACAGGGAAGGAAATGCTGAAAAATACAGCTCAGAATTGCTAAGCAATAAAAACAACTGATTTAGCTACTATCCTGAAAGAATCTACAATAGAATGAGTGTTGATCTAGCAGACTGTTGTGGTAATTTCAGTATTCAACATTCATTCTTTTTAGCCTGATTGAAAGATTGCTTCATTTTAAGCCTTCTTCCCTCCTTTGCCTTGATTTTATGACCCAGAGCTTCTGTAGCCTGTGCTATCCTTCCTGGTGCATACATATGCACAAACGTGTATAGATGAAGAATGACCTAGAGCAAAAACATTTCACCTGGTTACACAAAATATAATACAGAGGCTTTCTAAGCCTACTGCTAGGAAAGGAGTAAAAAAAAAAATCCAAAATCCATGCTTGGCAAGTTTTCCCCACCTTGTTAACACTCCTTGTGGGCAGCAGAAGGTTTCACACAGGAGATTTAGCTCATGTTTAACTGGGGCCCATCTGCTTTTCATCAAGAATGTCAGGTTGAATATGCTTTGTTCTGCTAATAAGTATTTGTGAGTGATGGAGTTGTATACTTACTACTTGCATTGTGTGTTGTAATTGGTTTTCCCCTCAGTGACATCTTCCATTTAAATAAATGAAGGATACTAATGGCTAGTTTGGGGTTAGCAAAAGTTTCCACCGTGGGAAATCAGAAGTGACTAATTTTTTAAATAGCATGCTTTGGGGAACCCCATTTCTGCAACAGCAATGTGGAATTGCCCTTCGTCTCTTCTTTCCCCCCAATAAAGAAGGTATTCCTTTATGCTGAGATATTCAGTGTAAGCATGATTATCTTCCCTGGATAAGTCTGCCATTCCTTTATGAACAGAAAGTCCTTTGAAAACTGATCTTTTTCCATCATGAAATTATGAGATTATATGCAATTTATCTGTAACAAATACAAAGATATGAATAAACATACAATGGTGCTTAAAAATTTCTGTACCCTTCTGAATCATCAGTATTGCTGTATAAATACGACCTAAAACATGATCTGTCCTCCACACAAATCTTAAAACTGGATAAAGAACCAATTAAGTAAAGTCAAAATAGTGCACTTGTTCATTTATGAAAAGAATGTAAAGCTATGGGTTTGTGTGTGACAAGAGCATGTAAATGTCTAGATTTATCAATTCATTTGAAGGAGAAATTAGAATCTGATTTCAATCAATTAGTTAAAATCAGGATCAAGTGTGGGAGGTCCTGCCTTATTTAAAGAACATAATTCCGATAATTCATTAAAGTGATCTTTACAACACTGATATGTGGAACTCTGTCAGCTCAAACAAAGAAGAGCTTTTGACCTCAAAAAAAAAACAGTTGTTGATGCTCAGAATAACATTTAATTTCTCTCTTTTGTTGGTGAATATCAATTTTCACAAGACCAACATCAGGACAACTCTGAAAAAATAAGCATGGCAGGGTTGTAAGGAGAAAGCCAAGTTATATTTTATGGAACAATGTTACATGCCTACTTATAAAGGTATGTTCTTTTGGAGCAACTAATTAAACCAGATTTTTAAAAACCTATGTGTTTTTTTTATCTTGTCTAAAACAGTTCAACCATTCTCATATTGTGCTGTATAGTCTAGCTCATTTAAATCTACTTATGATGCACAGGAATTCCTTCTGTCCAACGTTATATTTAAATATTGCTCTTATATGAACAGTTTCTCCTTACCTAATATTATGTTATACAGTTTGTTATACAGCTTATAAAATTTATGTGATTTCTTTTCTGTGCATTGGCCTCATTTTGTATGTTTGATTTCTGATGTCCCCTGCCAGCTTCCCACAAGGAAATGCAATGGAGAAGCTGACAGGAATTTACTTCCACTCCCACTGCTTCCCCCTCCTATTCTGTTTCTCTGTTTAGGTAAGGAAATCTCTCCATGTCTAGTTTAAACTAACAACTCCCTCCGCTCTTAATGGACTACTATAGGAACCAAAAGAATAGAATATGATTGTAAAGACATGGTTTTTAGGGATAGTTGCTTTTTGTTCAACCATATATGTGCAGAATCTACCCTATTAATTATAGTGTGTTTATACTATCTTATACAACCACCTATCTATATTGAATTCTTAGTATGTCAAAAATATTAAGCTGCTGACAGAATCACATATTGCCTAATAGAAAAATGTGGTTAGATGAACAATGCTTGTAAAATTACAAAATTATATGAGTTTTGGAACTCATATAAAATTGGCTATTCTGTCAAATTAACACCAGTGCATGGTGCTGATACGATATAATCAATGAAAAGGATTTTCCTGCCCAAGGCGGAATGGTTTTGTAATGTTTAGTGTATTAAGATTCATTCACCCTTTTTATATGATTAGGAAAGCCAGTTTGGTGTACTGGTTAAGGCACAGGTTAGAAACCTGGTGATTGAGTTCTAGTCCTACCATAGGCACAAAACAAGTTGGGTAGCTTTGGGCCAGTCACTTTCTCTCAGTCCTAGAAAGGAGGTAATGGCAACCATTTCTAAAAAACCTTACCAAGAAAAATGCAGCGCTTGTCTAGGTAGTTACCAAGACTAATATGAAGTATATGTTTAAAATATTAACTGTTGAATTATGCTGCCATTTTGAGCATTGTTTTCTGAGGATCTCCAGGGAATGAAATAAATGGAGGAATGAATGTTTGTTCACATCTGCACTAGAGGAAGGAGACAGGACAGTAGAACCTCTGGTCACGACCATAATTTGTTCCATAATTTTGATTGCAACCCAATTTGGTCATGACCTGAACCTAATTTTAGAAAGTTAGCGCTTACAAAAAAAATGGCACCAGGGGCCGTGAAAAAAATGTGAATTTTTTTGGTCAGAACTTGATTTGGTCATGGTCAGAAGCGTTCGTGACCAGAGGTTCTACTGTACTTAAATGTAGCTTCAATATATGTTCATAATAGTGGATTCTACTAACCCATCTATGATTAACTTGCAAATTTGAATATTATTAATTTCAATAAAGGGCTATTAGTATGCTGAGATCATTCATCATCAAGTAAACTGTAATCAGTCAATATATATTTTACAGCATGATTTAATGAGATGTGGATTGATGATTTACACACCTGGTTCAGAATTGTAGTCCAGGCAGTCACTCCATTTTTTTATTGGCACTCACAGCTATAGAAGACTACAACATTGGCACCTTAAATCATATTTGGGAATCATTCAAACAGCAGTGCAATAAACTAGCCACATACAGGTGTTGTTGTTGTTTTTGCACTTGTGTGAATTGGCAGGTCAAAGTTGCTCAGATTCTCACCCTGAGATGCTTCATTGTTCTTTTTAACATCACTTTTGTCAAGTTATTAAACATTTATATTAAATATTAATAGAAAGAAGTTAACATCTAAGATATATAAACACTTCCCATTCATTGTTAAATTAAAAAGTCAATTAAATTAAAAATGATATTTTGATTTTTTTTTTACATCCAGCTTCTCATAATAACAATTAACTTTGACACTGCCAGGTATTTGTTGCTTAGGAATAAATTTTAAAATTTCACTAACATTATAAAATCTAGATGGACAATCTTTCAGTTTTTGTCATGGTCAAGGCGTAAAGTAGGAGATCTGATTGCTGTATCTACAGTAAAGGCCTATTCTTGGAAGAATCCTAAACAGAGCTAGGTGTTTAGAGCAAAATATCAATTTAAGGGTAACAGTTATCCCAAGTTGAGATATTCCAGCACAAAAACTTGCAGAATTTTGCTGAGGTTGTCAATAGTTGGCTTGTCAAGATTCTCTTCGTTGTCCTCCATAGTATGCCATACTCTAGGGAAAGGTGAAGGTATCAAGTGTAGGATTGGGACACCTGTTGAGATAAGAGAGAGCAAAAAGATGAGTTGGTCCAACTTTTGAGACAACTATTATTTCTCAACAATGTTGTACAATACATAAACTGAAAGCGTGATGGCGTTAATGTTCTGATCTCATTGTTTAATCTACTGAATATCAGAAAATCATTAAAACTCCACTGCTGCTAAAATTGTAAGAACATTTAAAGACTAACCATCTCATTTTTTGCAAAAAAGTATTTTAAACAATGGATTTTACCTATTAGGGATAATAAGAGTTTTGAAGTGGGATCTATCTTTAAACATAAACATTTTTAAATCCTACGTATAAATAGCAAATGCACTTTTTACCTCTAGAAAGGCAGAGGCAAATGATCTGACACAAACTGTTCCTTTTGTATGTGCCCTAGATGGACCCCTGAATATCCTAAAGGGCAAGACTTATGAACAACCCCTGCTCTAGAGAAGGGTATTTGGAGCAATAGACTGAAAAGTATGGCACAATACCCTTTGACAAAATTACTTTGTATATGTGAATTGAATAGACATTTGGTCTAAATGTTTCATTTACTTTTTTATGTTTATATAATACTGGGTTGATGGGAGTTCTGCCAAATGTATTTCCCTTGATTTGAATTGCCATGCTGAAAAAAAAGATCAAGATCCCTCAGCCTATCATTCTCCCTCTCTCTCTCCCCACCTCTCTCTAATTTACAATATGAGATGGGATGAGAAAAGAAACAATTGTGCAATATCTTTTACCATAATTATAATCACTGACTTCCTTGTATTAATATTATGATTTGTCAAAAATAAAATAAGCCACATTCTAAAAAATGGGTTTGTGACCAGACCTGACTATAAGAATGAAAGTTTGTACAATTCTTTTAAGTCTGGAGAAATATTTGCATACATAAATAACACTTTTACATATATTGCTGAATGTATATCAATTAAAACACATTAAAAACACATTAAAATCCATACCTCTTCTCAAAAATGGAATATGGTCATCCTCAACTGGATGTCGACGTAAATTACTCCGGAAGTACTGCCTCTCAGAATAATAATTATTTAGCAAATGCAAATCATGAAGGTTTCGTTCTGCAGGTTTTTTTTTTTTTTAAAAAATAGCAAGTTGTGAATATCAAAGTAATTGGTGTTTTTTTTAAGCTCTCAATCTGTTTAAAACATTTTGAAGCAAAAATGAATTTTCCTTAGAATTTTATGCACCCTCAATGCTTTGTGAATGCAAACTCATAGTTATAACTGTTACCGTATCCCAGAAAATAGCCTTAGAACAGATATTTTGCTTAATCTGTATTGTACTGTTTTGGTAGCATTTGTACAGTTTTTATCTTAATCAACAGAGTCCACAATGATTTTTAAAAATATGTACATGTGGCTAGTTAATTTCTTGATACTGCTGCAATGCATGAGTTTTTGCTTAAACAACTCCTTTACTTGTGATGTAAAGTTGTAATAGATTATATTAGTAGCAATACTTGACCATATAAAACTAGATGATACAAATATCCCTTTACAAGTTAAACTGGTATATTTTGTAAAATGTTCTTACCAATGGCTTCAAGTCTCCCAAACCATCGAGCTGTATTCAAAAAGTAAACAGGAAAAACAGGGTTTCGTGCACCAATTAAATCCAGCAACACAAAAAGATCCTATGGGAAATCAGTCAAGGTTAGTCCTTTAAATGCCACCCTCAGAGCTTTACCCATAAGAGAATATTAATGACTGTCTAAAATCAGTGAATGTGGACAATTCCAGACAAGTATTTCAAAATACTTATATTGCTGTATTTATACTGTTGAATATAAATATCTCAGAGGGATTGAAATCTTCCACTCACAAACCTTGTTGTGATTCTTATTGTAATTAGTAAGGACTTGATTCTGATTAATAAGTCTACAAAGACTTCAGATGACAACTGCTTTTAAGTGGCATGCCTTTGTATTTGTTTTATCAATTAACTTATCTTTGTTTGTCTGTTTTATCTGATTAATTTTTATTTTATTGCAGATTGTATTATTCTATTCTATTGGTGGCACTACGGTTAGAATGCAGTATTGCAGGCTAACTCTGCACCCTGCCAGGGGTTTGATTCTGACCAACTGAAGGTTAGCTCAGCCTTCCATGCTTTTGAGGTCAGTAAAATGAGGACCCAGATTGTTTGGGGCAATATGCTGACATTGTAAATCACTTAGACAGGGGTGTAAGGCACCATGAAGCATATATAAGTCTAAGTGCTAATGTAATTCTAAATGATAGTTTAGAAAGTCATGCTTGCAATTCTTTTTATAACCCTAATCATTTTTAAGGTAAAGAGCATAGATTCCATGATTCTTTATTCATATCCTTGAGCTCTAGGAGTATGGCTACAAAATAACTGAAAATTTTGGGATTTTATAGGAGGGACATAGGTGTAGTGATTATTTTACTACAAAGGTTGCTCCTCTATGAACAAGCATTGCCTATCAGTACAAAAATAGGAGCAGAATCTATTTTGTTAATTTCATTAAGAAGTTTGTACTACATTTTGAATGTGTCATGTAATTAACTTTAGAACTCTGTTTCTAAAGATAGATCTCTCAGGTCTCCCCTAAATCCAAGGACTCAGACATGGGGGACCCTGCTCAAGAAAAATATCAGACTCAGGAATCAGGAGAAGTCAAGCACCAAAGCTGAGTGTCCTAGCAATAATCTGGAACAGATGCAGAACAACATAAAAGACAAAGATCCTGATCCCAAGCAGTCACCCAATCTAAAAACATGCTGTGAACTCTGGAGAATGGAGTAGAGGAACACCAAGAAGCAAAAATGACAGTTGTCTTAATTAAATCTTGTCCACACTAGCTGATATAATGCAACTACCAGAAGTTGGTTTTTCTGTTGGGAACATCTACTCTAACCATGGATTGGCATTTTTATGTCACTCAGTCCTATGTATTTTCTGAAGCCTGGGCTGTCTGACAATTTTCTATGGCATTTGGACCATTGAACTGTTCCTGATCCATGTATGCTCATGATCTGATTTGGCTTTGGACTCACAGGCAATATTTCACTTTCTTGTTAGTGTTCTGCACGCATCAGAGCTCTGCCTGCCAAAGCCTATAATTCTTGAAAACTTAAAAGTAAACAGATTGCGACTCAACTTTGTGTATATGTTCATCCTGAAACAGGACAGCTCCCTTGTAAGGGTCTCCTGTCCCCCAAAGAATCTCTTCCTCTCTTCCTGCTTAACAGATACACTTGAGGAGGGTGACTCCTTCCCTCCCATTCGCAATACAAGCCTCAATAATACAGTACTCTGCAACTTCCCTTTTCAAGACCCCATTTAAAGTACTAATTGCAAAATATTTTTGTTTCTCTTCCAATCTTTCCCTTCTTTAAAAACTTTCTTCCCAATCATTATAACATTTAAAAAATTGGACTAATAGGATATTGTTATATAAAATAGGAAATTAATGTTACGCCAAAAACTTCTGCCATTTTTAGCCCCGTATCCAGTATTTGTAAAGTTTTTACTTACAATGCCTTGAATTTGATTTGTGTTCCTGACACCTGGTGGATGAGGAGTAGATGCCATTTTCTGGGCCAAAGATCTAGAGCCATACAAGGAATCAGAAGGGGACCATCGCACAAAAGCTTCTTCACCATCAAAGAAAATAAGCTTCAGAGAAAGATCTGCCTTGGGTGGCAAACTGCTTTGCTATAGAATAGGTGGGAAACAGAATGGAAAGTCTGTCACCTTACTTAGAATCACAGTAAATGCAACTTGAAGAAAAAGTAAATACCTTCAGAAAAGAAAGCTGTCTGTCCAAGGACCTTGCCAATTCTAGCATCATTGCACAAGGTACAGCTGAGTCAGTGGCTCCAACAAACACTTTACCATCCAGCTGCGGTGGAAAATATTTTGAGTCATAATGGCAAGCAACCACCAAATGGCGTTTGGCAAGGGGATTGAGAGTACTGATTATATTTGAAAAAGTGCGGTATCCATAAGGAGTATGACTCTGAAATGTGTCTTCTTCAACCAGCCAGCCAGCTTGCAATCCTTGTAGGCGATGCTTGATATGCTAAAATATATAGAACCAAAAGTCAATAGTGATCAATAATGTTGTTTTAAGTTAGTCCATACAAATCAATCTTGCAAGGGCCAATACATTTCCTGAAGAAGATTAACCTTTCCCCCTGAAACCTACTATTCAAGAAATCTTCATTCACAGCTTTGAATACATTTCTCTCTAGGAGAGCTTTTCAAGCAGCCATAGGGCCTATTGATAATGAAGCAGAACAAGTCTTTTTCAGGCTGCAATTCTGTTTGCGTACTGCAAACTAAAATTTTGGACAGAGCGAGCTCCGTCAGCCTTTTTCAACATGGTGCCTTTCAGATGCAGTCAATTCCCATAACTTTCCATCAGCTCACCTGTTATCTGCAGCATCTAGGAACAACTATCAAATATATCTAAAGGGCATCAGGCAAAGAAAACGTGATAATATACAGTATTTACGTCTTTCTCATTTTTAGCTTTTTAATATAATAATTCAGAATGCTGGTAATTCAGATCTTGGAGTCTCTTTTTTCCTCTAATACCACATGTTGCAAAGGAATGGATCAGAGAGGCAATTGTATATATGGACAAATATAAAGCTTTTAGCCATTTTGAGCTTTGAATAAGAGTGCTTCTGCAGTGAATATTACAGAAAGAATTAAAAGAAAATCAGGATGAGAAAATTCTATATTCATTACATTTTCTTTGTGGTCATAATTGCAGAAGGCATAGAAACTTTTCAAAATATGAAAGGCATAGAAATTGTTCAAAATATGAGATATTTAATATTCAGTCAGCAATTCCAGATTGAAATGCAAGACTTATCAAAGTAAGAGGTTCTCAATCCCAGCTGCTGTCACTTAATGATATATAATTGCTGCTCCCCCATCTGAGGATATATCTTTGGATGTTTCTTTAGTAATAATGTTTTCTCAGCTGCTCATTTCTATAGCAGCTCAAGAATTGCTGCAATCAAGGCCTAAGAGAGCCTTCATTATCTTATAGAACATGTTGATACTTGTCTGTAAGCAACAGGCTTACAATGGCTAAGGGATAGTTAGAAATGTGTCTTCTATAAAATCAAACCTATGCCAATAATAGGATTTATTGCTAATCAGAATGAAGCTACAAAAAACGTAATTACATATATGTATAAAGCCACTGGCAATGAAAAGAATTTTGCTTTAGCCATCTTTCCTTTTGTGAATGTATTAGAACAAAAAGTATCATCATATTAAGCTCTAAGTACATCAAAAGTTCCCAATATAGCCCATCACAAACTAAACATTTTGCAGCTTTTTATTACCTTTTTAAAAATTACTTTCAGAGATTTTGAGAGGATAGACAAGGAAAAAAAATATTACCTGTGAGGATGAAGACGTATTCTAGGATATGGATTAATTCCAGAAATACATAATCATGGGTGTTGATTATCAGTGATACCTGTAGTAGTCTGTAAGTGCTAATTAGCTAATTGTTTTGTTATGAGATGGGTGCCAAATAAATTTAATAAATAAATTTGGGATTGGAAATTTTAATATGCAGTAGATACTTTAATTAGATTTGTCATTTTCAGTAGAATGAACATCAAAGACATTTGTCTTAGTAGAAACTTTTTTTTCAGATACAGTACTGTTCTTCTCCAGGAACAGTAGTACATACCCTTTCTTGGCTATGTTTAATTACTGCAGCACTGGAGATACTATTTTTGTTTAGGCTACTTGTGAGCAGTCTCCTAGGAAACAAGCATTTAGTAGATATTCTTTGAAAGAGTTTATCTGCCTTTTTTTGCTTTATAAATTGCAGATCATCAAGCTTATATATCATTACATTCCAATTCTACTAAGAAAAATCACCATTTTTGGACATCTCTAATTGATTAGAATTTAGCATAATAAAGGTCCTGCACACTTGTGACAGTATTTTATGACTGGAAAGTACAGTTCTTCTCCAAGTTGTAATATGTTTGTTGCTAGTTGCTATTTCCTGTGCTATCATTAGTGCTGACAACATAATCACTTCCTCCTTTCCAGAAGGATTAATTGTGTTTCAATTAATGATTACTAATTCTCACACCTGTATACCACTTCCTGAATAATAAGCAGCACAGAAGGACACAATTGAAGAGTGATTGCCTTTGTGTCTTGTCTCTAAACCTCCTGTTTGGAATCACTAGTCTGTCATATTATGACACAGAATGGTGGATTATATTACCTTTGGCTTGATTTAACAAGGCTTTTAAATTTTTCTCGCAATGATATTACCTCTGTGACAAGTATATTGCATTGTACTTATTCTATCTTCTCTATGCTTGTTGAAATATTTTCCCTCTTTCAGTAGTTACAACCTATTCTGTCTTACCTGCCGCACAGCATAGCTCCCAGGTGATCCTGGATATCTCTCAATCAGGATTGGATGAAGGTCATTTTGCCACATGCTATTAACATTTGTCTGTGAGGTGACCTGTAGGATGCTAGTTGCATTTAAAATGGTTGGGCGATGGGAATACTGCAGAAAGAATTAAAGGAAAAATCAGGATGAGAAGATATTCTATTGCTTATGTTGCTTTGTATCTGTGATGGAACTATTCAAATAAAATAACTATTATCTATTTTATGGTTAAAATGAAAACTAGTAACAAGCTGTTATCTAGAGTTTAATCTATTGACACACTTGGAAATACTGTATTTTTACATATACACATGCTGTGCATAAGATAAGGATTGAAGGCATTAGTACAATAATTGATTCCTATTCTCTATTAAATCTTTAGGGAAGCCATAGTGCCACTTAATTTCTTCCAGAAAGCAAAGATTATTTTGTACCTCTTCATAAGACTCAATTCTAACATATGCTAATTTTATGGTACCGTATATACTCGAGTATAAGTCGACCCGAATATAAGCCGAGGCACCTAATTTTACCACAAAAAACTGGGAAAACTTATTGACTCGAGTATAAGCCGAGGGTGGGAAATGCAGCAGCTACTGGTAAATTTCAAAAATAAAAATAATTAATTTGGGAAACGATCTCACTATCATGAAAGGTTTAATTGATTCACTAACCCAAAAGAAGAAGATGATGATGACAGCGGGAGGCAGGAGTCACTCTCTTCCCCTCCCCTCGGAGGCCCCCTGAGTCAGGAGTCGCTACCGCCGGCGCGGCCCCAGTCCCGCGTCGCCTCGGGAAGGGAAAGGCAAAAAGGAAGAGCCGCGGCAGCGCTTTGCAACGGCAGCAGCGGCACCGGAGGCTCAGGCTCAGCGGCTCCTGGTTTTGCCCCACCCTTCCCAAGGCAACGCGGGACCGGAGCCGCACCGGCGGCAGCAACTCCCGACAGCCCCAGCCGGACACCTGAGCGGAGCCCGGGCGGAACTGCCTGTTGCCACCGTGGGCATCGCTGCGGGCGCCCGGCTGCCCAAGTAAAGAACAGGGCGGCGCCGGACCATCGGAGAAGCGGAGCAAAGCCGGAGACCAGCAGCCTCCTCCCTCGGTGCAGAAAGCCTCCCCCAACCAGCCGGCCGGTCTCCTCCTCCTCGGCCACACAGAACAAACAGGCAGAGAAGGAGGAGAGCAGCTGGCCAGCCGGGGGAGGCCTCCCGTGCTGCGAAAGAGGCAGCCAACGATCTCCAGTGCCACCCTGCTCCACGCGCTGGCTGCTTGGACTTGCCGGGCCCAGCACATAGAACAGGGTGGCGCCGGATGTTGGAGAAGCCGAGCGGAGCCGGGGATCATTAGCCGCCTCTTTCGCAGCACAAGAAGCCTCCCCCAACTGGCCAGCTGCTCTCCTTCTCTGCCTGCTTGTTCTGTATGGCTGAGGAGGAGACGACCAGCCAGCTGGTTGGGGGAAGCTTTCTTCGCCGAAAGGCAGCTACTAATCTCCGGCTTTGCTCCGCTTCTCCAATGGTCTGGCACCACCCTGTTCTTCTTGTGCTGCGAAAGAGGCGGCTAATGATCTCCGGCGCCGCCCTGTTCTATGTGCTGGCTGCTCAGACTTGCCCTGCCCGGCACATAGAACAGGGCGGCGCCGGATGTTGGAGAAGCCGAGCGGAGCCGAAGCCACCTCGGCTCGCGTTGTTTTCTGAGCCCGCGAGCCTAGAGCCAGGGCGCTTTCATTGCACGGCGTTGCTTCTTGTCTCGGGAAAAACAGGGCGTCGTTGCTGCCCCCTGAGGGGAGGGCGATTCTGGGCTGCGCGATTGGGGGACTTCGTGGCTTTGGGTGGGAGCGAGGACGGACGGAGTCCGTGAAGTGGGGCTTGCCTGCCCTTGCTGGCTGCCTCTGCTTCCTTAGGGGCGGGGAAGGGGGCTCATTTGGACCAAGGGTGAGTCTCCCCCTCAGTTTCCCCTGAAGGATCTTCCGTCGCTTTTGCCTTCTCCCTACATCTTCCCTCTGTTAAAATTCCCCACACACACACACACTTATTTTCGGGCGGATAGATTTCGTGTCTGAGCATTCTCACATGACGGTGGGTCTTCCCCCTCCCTAAAAACAGTTAAAAAAAGAAAAAATATATCCTCATGCAAGAACTTTTCTGTTTCCGATTACCCCCATGCTTAAAAGTTGCAAAGGAAACACGGAAGCAGGGAAGCGCCTGCCCAGCTCCGGAGCTCCACACCATGTTTTTTTCAGAGGGGAATCTGACTCGAGTATAAGCCGAGGGGGGGTTTTTCAGCACAAAAAATGGGCTGAAAAACTTGGCTTATACTCGAGTATATACGGTATATGGAGAGATTTCATTCATCTCTTCCTTTGATTACTGGAAGAACGCAAGATGCATTTTGATCCACATCCTTTTCCACATCTGAGTATTTTTAAAATCTTTCCTATAGCAAATTTAGCATTCTGCTAAAATTATAGATTTCCCATAAATAATGGAAAATATGCAAAGAGACTTTTCTTAAGGGCAACTTTATAAAAAATGCATATTAGCCAACAGAGTTTTTAAGAGTAATGAAGATTAGATTACTTGTACTTAAAAAATGAAGGGGAAAAAACCTTTTTAAATGCTACTCCATTTTACCTGCCAAGAAAATGTTGCATAGAAATCAATAAAAGGATGATTTTGATAAAATAGTACAAGCATTTACCAATGCCAGTTTGTGTCCCCTGAAAGATAAAACAAGATACTGCTTTATAATCATACTGCTGCTGAAGCAACAACTTCTTTGCTAGATAGATAAAGAGATGAAGATGAGAGAAAGAAAGTAGCCCTTGACTTAAAACCATAACCACATTTGATTATGACTATTCATGTGACCATGGGGATGCTGTTATAGTTGAAAGTGCAAGGACCAGTTGTAAGTGTAAGGATCGGTTGTAAATTAATTTTTTTCAATGTTGTTGTAACTTCACATGAAAAGTTGTACATTTGAGAACTACCTGGACAGAGCTTCAATACAAATTAGGTCAAATTACAAGACTATTCAGTTTCACACAAATCAATCTAGTTGCTTTCCAGCTGACTACCTAAATTCATGTCAATCCAAATTACAAAGTTTGCTGGCCTTTTTTTTTTTTTTGCTTTGATACCACCCTTTTGACTATATTAAGTGGTAGATATAAATAAACATCAGTCTGGACCTAGGAGAAGTAGAAGTGATTGAAAATGTTATACATTTTATATTGAAACTCAGTCATTTGAACTTAGCAAAACACCAGGCACCCAGGCAAATTTTATATTCTTTATCTATCGTTTGATAAAAATCCGAAGCTGACATATACAGCTGCAAAACTGTTACCTAGTAACAATGGTTTGCAGCAATGTGTTGTCCTCTAAGGGAGTGAGTTGATGTTAATAAAGTTCATTGTATGTTGAAGTTATACTAGCCATTAGATGTTATATTTCATAGATGCTCTTATGTGTATTCCTCTTGTCTAAGACTATAATAAACTATTTTTTTTTATGTATGCCAAATATTTGATTAAAACAACCCTTAATCTTTCAGGTAAGTGCAGCAATCCTCCAGTTCAACGAATATCACTTCTATTTCCATATAAAGAAAAAGGGATGTTGAAATTTTCCAGTTATAGACTATACACTACAGGCTGCCTGATCATGAACCTTTCTATTATGGTAAATTGGATATGTGTAAAACACAATAATATATATTTATTAAAATAGATCCAGGTCAAGGTAATTGTTTTAATGTAAATTAAAATAAATGCAGAATAAATCCAATCAACATTCAGAACTATCCTCATTATAAGACATAAGACATAAGAATTTATTTGTCATTACACTCGCAAGCGGGTGCAACGAAATGCAACGAAATTATAAAATACAATCTTGAAATGTTTTATACATATATATTTTATCACATAGCTACTGAATAGAAAATCAGCTCATGGCTATTCTTCTAATCTGAATGAAAGAAAAACAAATGCAAAGTTCCTGAGAGAAGGCACTTCATTCATATTCCAAATGAATTAAAATACTGATTATTTGAATATTTTGTAATGAAGGTTTCTTCAATATGGAGAAAAAATTGCTCCTATTTTCTTCAACAGAATATGCTGAAGTTTGATTAGAAATCTTATTTTTGAGGGGTGGGGGAAGATCCAGAATTCAGCCATGGATGCCATTTGTCCTTTTCTCTCTTTGTGGTCTTTACATTTTCCAACATAATTTGATATTATTATAGGTGTGGGTGTGCTTTATATGATTACTGCCATTTTTTTGAGTCAGTCAAATTTGGGGGAAATTATCTTAGTTATATTTCAATCTGCTAATGCTCTCCTAGGGTGCATGTGGAGACCTGGTTTATGTACTTTTTCCCAGTCTGTAAAGCAGATCAAAATTATGCCAGTATAATTTGCTGTATCTACAGTGTCAGTCCTGACTCTGCTTCTCTAATGAGGCTGGTAGGTGGTGCTATCTTAATAGTTTACTAGGGATAAGTTAAAGTACGTAGATTGATGGATTTTTCTGCTGGCAAGAAAAATATCCACCAATTGTTTCCCTTGGCTGTAGCTAAGGCTTGGCAGATGACAGTGAGGTATTGCAATAGAAACTCTATCATTTCTGCATGTGTGGACACTGATGTACATACAAAAGGCATTGAGCTTTGATTGCAACACATACCTGCCATTTTGATTCTTTCCTTGGACACCTCTACGCAGACATGCCTTTAATTGTGTTGAACGAGACAACTTTGAGACAAAGTTAAGGAGATGTGTATGATGGTGCCTTAAGTGGGGCTGCTCTTGAGAAGTATCCAGATGTTGCAATTAATGCAAAATGTAGGAATCATGCTGCTAATGAATACAAAAAGTGTGGGGATCTTATCATGGTTGTATTGAAAGGTCATCAATATTTGCTGTTGCTTTCTGTACTTGATCAACGTAAGCCATCAGTACAAAATGGCTTTAGACTTTTTTATTTAAAGGTCAGCATTTCCTGTTATGTATCTGTTGCAATTTGCAGCTAAGCCCACATTCTTTCCAGCAAGAAGGAGGGGGGCTTCTCCTGTTGCTCCCAGGCTTTGATATAACCTTCCCCACTTTCTTAGAAGGATTTGCGTAATTTATAAAGATGCTTATCTTCCATAAGACTTTCAACTGTTAATTAATTTTAGTAATAACCTCAAATGCTTGCCAGAGTAAAATACAAAACAAAGGATGAACAAATGTTTTCTTTGCTAACCAGCTATGCGTGTTTCTCAGGAGACATCCCTCCCTCCATGGCAAGTTGATTGAGCGCAATTCTCATTATGCTCTGTTTGGAATCTGCCCAACTGACCAGCTTGGGATCTACTCCTCTGTAAAAATAAAGAGGATCACAGTACTATATTTGCCCAATAGAAAGTTCCAATTTTGCCTCCTCCCCCCTCTGGAATTCAAGGATCTCTCAATTGTAGTAGGTCCGTTGTTTGGATATAGGTGCTGACCCACTTCAGATTTCTTGGCTTCAGCAAGGCTGCTGTATCCTGCTTTCAGATTTTGCCCATTAGTTGGTTAGGATGCTACCGTATTTTCCTCTCTAGTGCCTGAGGGCTGTGCTAGTAATGCAGCTGGGTAAGAGGCATTTATTTGTACATCAAACTTCCAGATCACTTATTTTTATGATACAATTAGTCACCTCATTACCCTTAAAAAAGAAAGAAAGATGTACATCATGCTACTGGATTTCTGGCCACTCTACAAATAAGAGTAGTAATAGAACAAGGATATAACACAAAAGATTTTGGGTCTCTACCCCGCCAAGCCACTCCAATGCCCCCATGCATCATATTATCATGAAAAAGAAATAAACAGAATATCTCGATCCAGTCACAGTTTTGTTCCATATAGTATCAACCTTGTGAACTTTCAAGTTTCCTCTTTCCACTATTTATTACAAATGAACAGTGATTAATATGTATATGGGTATAGGTATGTATATGTATGTACCATATATACCAGTAACATATGTGTGTGTATCATATATGTGCGTGGATAGATAAATACTTTCTTTTGAGGGCAGGCAACAAAATTTCATTTTTAATGTGTGCCAGTGTGCTCACAGTAAAAAAAAAAAAAAAAGACAATGTAGGTCATGAAAAAGAAATAAGGTACGTTTTCTCCCTTTCATTCCCCCAAAGGCCAAAAATGCCGACCCCACAGACATTGTCCCCTCCCTGGTTGTACTGACCCTGCCTGCGCCCCCTCTCCCTTCACCTCCCGCTGCACCCACAAAGCAGGGGACGCTGCAATGCCACCCACCTTCTCCTGAGTCCAGTCCGCTCTGTCTTCTCGGCCACCTACATGCTGCGGGAAGCCCGGGAGAGCCAAGCAGAGTGCCCAGGCCAGGCAGAAAAATGCCGCCGCCTTGCTATCTCGTCTCTCACTGGCCATGCCGTTGCAAGAAGCAGCCCCCTAGGCTGGGCAGGGAGCGAAGCCGACCCCGGCTGCCAGTGAAGGAGGCTCGCTCGAGCCTCAGAGGGGGAGGCAGATTCAGGCAAAGAGGCGGGCGCGACGGGCGCAGCGTTGGCGAGCAGGCGGGCGATGGGACGGCGGCGCTTCGCTTCTGTCTTCCTGAGGCGCTTTTTGGCTTCGCGTCCGGCGAGTTTCTGTCCTGCCTTGCCTACGTAACGCGGCGGGAGAGATGCTAATTCCCATCCCAATCAGACTGTCTTTCCCTCAGGAGTGGGTGGGCGTTTTGTCCCTGGCACCACGTCAGCAGCATCAGGAGGACAACAGATGACTAATCCCGCCACTTTGGGCTGCAGCCAGAAGGACAGCTCCCCCCACACCCCCACCCCGGTTTCCTCCCAAAGTGAGCGGGGTTTCTTCTATGCTATAGACGCCGCAGATGTTTTTCCACTGATAAAAGTGAGCAGCGAGAGGCGCCTCGTGATTTCTTTTTTCTTTTTTACTTTTAAGATTCCCTTGAAGTAATGAATCAAAGCGTGTTCTGTATTCCTCTCGAGTTATATGCTATTTCAGACTGACCAGCCTGCAAAACTAGCACACATTTATCGATTATTTGAAGGATATGGGATTTGGGAGACCTTTTAAGTACTTGCAAAAGAAGAAGAAACAATAACGGTTATTTACCAAAGCTCTTACAAGCAGCTTAGCAAACACATTGAATTCCTCCTACTGGAAGCTGGTACTTTCTGATGTGTTGGAGAACAACTTCCAGAATTCCCAGTCAGCATACTGGGAATTACAGTTCAACTCGTTTGGATGGTTGCCTGATTGCAGAAACCTTCTCCATACATTTTCTTAAATTGGATTCTTAAAATGTTTATCTTTTAGTATACTAGCATCATCATTTCAATGGATTATACACTGAGTTTGGGGAACTTTTTTCTTCCATTCGAAGGGTCCCTTTCCCATTATTTCCCCAGCACAGTATGTATATTATCAAATCTGGATTGCAAAAATCTTGATGACCACTAGATGCTAGCAAAACATTAACGTTTTCTGTAAATCTTTGCTGCTATCTAAAGCCATAAAAAATGCTGGTGCCTATAGCTAGTAGCTCCTGCCTATGGGCATAAATGATATAGGCATATGATAAAACATGTGGTTTTAAAAGGACAAAGGAAACTCAGCTTTTTCCACTCCATACATGATTGCTCTCTGCCCTCAGTTGGCTACCATAGTTTCATTTTTATAAGAAAGGAAACAAAATGAAACAATAGTATAAGTTAGCCAAAATTTGTATATAGTGTGAATACACCAATTGGGTGGTTTACTCAACCTGCTAAGATAAGTCTGTTTAATCCTTTTTAAATTGAACATACAGTAACTAGCTGCATTCTAGCTGCTTAGTATTGGTTTAATCTGATCAATAAATAAAAGGAAGCATTTATCTGATATTCCACAGTTCTACTGGGCAAGTTGGAAAATCCCTCAAATAACTAATGTGAATTCACAGGTGTTAAGCTAGGATCAGTTGATATTTCAGTCTTGAATAGTGCCTCTAATGTTGTCACTTTTGCCCAATTATAAATTAACTGATCTAAATAAATTCCTACCAACTTTTGGACACAGAGACAGAAGGCTAAGGAGCTGCAAAAAAGGACTGCTGTAGTTAACACCATATCTTCTTTTCTATTATTTTTACACACCTGCTCTGCAGGAGCTTGTTTGTATATGTGAAAGGGGGAAGAGTGAAAGCAGACAGAGCATTTTTCCATCTCTGTAAGTGGCTTCAATTTAAAGGAATCACTGAAGTTTTTTTTTTAATATGTCAATAAAAGGAAGAAGTTGGGAACTGAAACTAACCAAGGTACCAGTTCTTCAGCAAACTGAGAGTGCTTTCTGATAGCTGAGTGCTTGGCAATATATTACAATGCCACAAACCCAACATTTTAGTTTAATCTAAAATGTAGTTTGCTTCTTTGTAGCTTATCATATGGTATAAACTCAACCACAGCTTGTAGCCCACAATGTATTGAAAAATCATTGTTTATTGAACAATAGTTTAGAATATTGTGTGATCACAGCTGGAATAATAACTTCCCCAAGATTCACACCAGATGTGTTTTTATATGTGGTGTAAAGACATCAGTTGTCTTCCTCCTCTGGGAGATAACTGGATATATACAAACTATATAGAAAGACTACTGTGTATATATTGCCATGCTGAAAAAATATATTTAGATTAAAAGTTTTTAAGAAGGCCATCCAAAGAGATTTTAATTGATGCATATTAACACTGCTCCTTCAAGTTATATCACATTCAGGTACAGTAATTAGAACTCACCACTGGGAGTTGGATATTTCCCTCCAAGATTGATAGCTTTCCTTGTTTTCAGAAAATTAGAGCAATCACAAAAGAAGGTGGGTCTTTATCCAAGCTGCAGCTGAGCTGACTGCAATGTGTTCAGTAATTCTGATTCATATCCTGTTATGAATCTGGCTGCCTTAATAGCATTGAAGAAGTGCCAGAATCCTGACAAAAGAACATAAGTGTTTTTGTGACTTATGGACACTGGTTTGAATTGATTTCCTTGCAGAGATGCATAGAATAATGTTAGCAATAGACATTTAACTCCATGGTGGTGTTCACACAACACACTGAGCTACAATTGACTTAATCTAATTTTCTGAGTTTGCAGACTACACCAAGTCATAAGAGAGGTCGTGGACTGGGACTACAAAACATCCTAGGAACTAAAAGCTGGTTGACTAGCTTGTAGTTCAGTGAGTCATAAACCACAGTCATTAAAGACACATTCTCTAATAATTAAGGGCAATTTATGCTATCATCACCCCAGTCCAGCTCCATTCAACTAATCTTGATTTCAAATTTTGATTCAAAGTGACAATAATAGCCAAAGTAGGCTTATGGCCACTTGATTAATGATCTCTTTAGGATAGGAAAGAGGGATGATGATAATATATATAGCCAAGTATTTAACATAAAGACATCTCTCTTTATGAAGTCAATTAGAATTTTAACCAAGTATAAATTCATATTTTAAATACTGTAGATTTCTTGCACAATTGTTGAGCATAATGTTACAGTGCCACCTAATGGTTTACTATGCTGAACTGTTTTGACCAGTGTTTCTGTATAGTACATGCTCTGATTTAAACAGATTTTCAGTTATTGAATGACTTTAAGTTCTGTGAAGTTACTGTTGAATTTGATACAATCTATATTTGTATCAAATATAGAGGGTTAACGTCATTGCCCAGAAGATCATTGGTTGCCTTCTCCCCTCTTTGGAAGAGCTTTATACCTCCCGCTGCCTTAAGAGAGTTCAAAACATTCTCAAAGATCCATCTCATCCTGGGCACCCTTTTTTTTGAACTATTACCATCTGGCAGATGGTACAGGATAATAAAAACAAGGACAAATAGGCTGAAAAACAGCTTCTATCCCAGGGCAATAGCTCTTTTGAATTCTACTGTATAGTGCAGTGTTGGTGCGGTGTTGTGGGTTTTCGTTCAATGTGTGGAGGGTGAAGGATGTGTGTTTGTGTTTATTTTCATGGTCATGATGTGCACTGAAGATGGTGTTTGATTTCGTTGTATGAGGTGCAATGACAATAAAGTAAACTAAACTAAATATCTATAGCCCTGATCATGTTTGATGGTTAATTTAAGATATGAAGCTGCATTAAATATTGCATTCAATGAATCTCTTCCATTTCCAAATTTGGTCTTATGATGGCAGGCATTGGGTTAGGCACAGGTACTTTAAAGATGTGCTCAATATTGTTGGACTACATCTTCTATCATTAACAGATTAACAGAGTTGGAAGGGATCTTGCAGGTCATCTAGTCCAACCGCCCACCCAAGCAGGAGACCCTACCATGTGTAGCCAACACGGAGGGTACCAAATCAAGAAATCCGATTTGGTTACAACAGTTGTTGGAAGGTGTCCTAAATTTATTTGTAAAAGCTTATGCAAGCTGCAGTTGGAATATGCATGTTATATTTTATTTCTCACAAAGTATTTTGACTGTTTGTCAAACTATATAAAATATATCAAATGGATAATTAATATGTAACTTTTGGGGGAAATTCTGAATTTTTAAAATAAAAGTTGGCTTAGAAGTAAGCGACATGAGTTAAGTAGAACTTATTTTTAGGTAAATAAATGTATACTGTATAGCAGGGGTCCCCAACCGCCGGTCCGCGGACCGGTACCGGGCCGCGGAACAAGCTTTACCGGGCCGCTGGTTGCTGGGCGCCGCCATCTTTTTTTGGTAAAAAAAGCAATTTTTCGTCAAAAAAGATGGCGGCGCCCAGCTGACGCCGGAACCGGGCCGCGGCGCCCAGCTGATGCCGGAACTGGGCCGCGGCGTCGAAAAGGTTGGGGATCCCTGCTGTATAGGATTGCAGCTATAGTATAAAAATTAGATGATATAAGTTCCTAAAATTAATTAGGGATGAATGAGATGATCTAAAATGATTGTCTTTATTATGTAGTGAGATCAGGATAGAATTGCAGATGGGCCCCTGGAGATAGTTTGTTAAGTAGGTTGAAGATGGTCTGTATAGTAGATGCCATTGTGGGTTAAGTAAAGCCGAGAAGGTCAACAGTTGTTTAAACAATAGGTTGGTGTTGCAGGTCTTCCTGCTGGAAATGATTATAGTTTGAACTTCCAGAATAAGGGAGGGGCCTGCTGGCAATGATAATGTGTTCAGCTGTGAGATTATCTTCTGGCACTATTGCTCTCTGGCTTGATAGTGGTGGTTGCAGCCACAGATGACTTCTTATGATTTTACACACACACACACACACACACACCTATCAACCTATTCATTTCATATTTCATATCATATTTTATATTTCTTTTGTGTGACAAGCACCACAGTAGGGATAATATTCCTAAAACAATTGGAAGTGAATATATTTTTCATAACTGGCCTATCTTTTGAGCTACTGTAGACCTCATAATTGAAGACTGAACCTGTAACTTTTTAAGAAGTTTCTCTGCCTTGGAAAAATATCTTGTTTTCATAGATAGTTTTAGGGTGGATGAATAAATAGAAGTGTCTTTGCAGCACTTCTTTTTTGAAGACAGTAACAACAAATTTACATGTTTTTATTCACAGTTCAATATTAACAATTTATTATATTTATTAAGTCTAATCTTGGTGATAAAGTCTGAAGAGGCAGGTA